GGCAAAGAGTTGTGTGACCCCTTTGCCGTTTCCGTGTGTGTCCCCNCACTCACACACTCACTCACTGATAGTGGCGGTGAGTGAAGGTTTTCTTGTCAGGTGTGTGTGTGTGTGGTGTGTGTGTGACCCACATTCGGCCGCGGTTTCCACGGTTTTCACAGTACCATCTGCTCTCCTCTTTCTTGCTCTCTGCATTCTTAAAGGAGCGCCACCCGCCCCAACCCCCGGCTGTCAGGCTGCCCTTCAGTTGCCTTGAGATTCAGTTGTGAGATGCGGTTGTGCAAGGCCTGTCTCCGCTTCAACCACTCCTTTGGCCACCCTCCACCACTCCTGATCACAACCCCCAGCTCGGACCCAAATCCCTGCCCTGGGAGACCTGGAAGGTGCTATATAAATGTCATTTGTTGTTGTTGTTAAAACTGGGGACAGATTCCCAAGTCACCCAATAAGTGGAATCACTTCATCTTCAGCAGGCGGCATCACCGAGGGCATGTCTGACATGTCTGACACCATCTTACAGTTTGTGTCTTGTTTGCCCAAGACCATAGTCCAATGTAGAGCCAGACTTCTGCTGTTTCACAACCTAATGACAAACCCACTGAGTGGCAAAGTAGGAGCAAGTTATGGAATTGTACAATGTTTCACCACAGAAATGGGTCAGATGTCAGCACTGTCATTTGGGCGCATTCTCATCTCTGAGTCAGAAGGGTGTGGATTGAAGCCCTACATTTGGATTTTGGACCCACATTGCCGAGGTTAACGCTCAAATGCAGCATGGGAGAGCGCTGTGTTGTTGGGGTTGCTGTCCTTTGCCTGTCAAGGTGGACCTTAAAGATCCTGTGGCATTGTTTGAAAAGAGAAGGGAATATCTCCCTGCATCCTGGCCAACAATCTCCCACATAAACATTGACATTAATTGCTCTATTCAAAGAGCCGGCACAAGCTCGATGGGCCGAATGGCCTCTTTTTGTGCTGTATGATTCTATGATAAAATGGTTTGTTCCCCTAAAAGCTGGTTGTGGGACATTGCTGTGTGCAAAATGGTTGCCGCATTAGCCTACAAAGTACACAGTAACTACTTGACAGAAAAATCCTGTGAAGTACTTTGAGATGTCCTCCTGATGTTAAAGGCACTGTATCAAATGTGAGGATTATTTATTTGATCCAGTTGAGTCATTTCCTGCACCTTAGCACCGTTCCTGTACCCTCCCCTACCCTTCGATATTCCTCTTTGTTTCAATATTTGTTCAGAATTTAATTGAACCAGAAACTAAGATAGAGGTTTGGCCCTCCTCTTTCTTCCAATGTAGTTTACTTTTGGAGTCGTGTCAGAGTGAATAGGAGGAAAGATAAGGGAATATGGGGCTATTCTCTAATCTTATCATACCTCACTTTACTGTATCTTAGTGAGTGATATTGGCACCGGCTCATTATGATCTCTCCAAAGGTCATAATGCTTATGTGAAAGGCACTTTACAAATGTAATTTTTTTTGTTGTTTTATGGGGAAGGAATAGATGTAATAGATTAAATTGGTTATTCACTACATGGACGTTTGAGGGACGCTGCTGTGAGCAAATTACAATAATAATCCTTACATTCAATATAGAGTCTTTCCCGGCACTCCACAGAGTGTCAGCCAGGACTGCGTGAGTTCAAAGACCTGACATGACAACAGTACTCAAAGCTGGAATCTGTAAACAATATATACTCAATGGATATTAACACTCTGTAATGTGAGCTCAGTTCTTATCTCTATCTCAACGGAAGGTCAAATGTTAGTTTAGCTATTGATAACCGTGGAAGGGTTGTTTCCCTGGTACTCACTTTAGCTGGTCAGGTTAATTCAGTCAGTCGCACTTTTGCCCCCAGGTCAGATAGCTGTAGGTTTCAGCCCCGTATTGGGATAAGCTTACAGACCAGACGCTCCAATACAGTACTGAGGAAAGCTTCATTATCAGAGATGCATATGTTTAACGATGAGATAACTGTTACTGACTAATATCAGACCAGACTATATTAGAGGTGCTCACTGCTAAATCAGACTATTTATTTTGGTCAGCTGGGTGTCCGATTGGTGGAAACTCACCAATGCATACAAATCACCATGCATAAGAGTATCGAAACTAAACTGAGAATTCCATGCATCCCACCTACACATGGAAAATCCAGAGATAGATTGTCAGAATGGAATGCGCACTCTCTCCCTGGAGGGACACATCCTGGTTACCCAATTCTGGAAAGTGTTAGATGCAGGTTAGGTACCTTATAAGTTAGGTAAGATGAGGTATCACCACTAATATAACACTATATAGAGGTATGTCTGATATTCCTAATATCATACTATGAATGTATGAAGAGGTGACGCTGATGTGAAAGGCATTGTACCGAATATAATCATTATTATTAATATCTGGTCTGTTTAATTCAGGAAATCATAGAAATCCACCTGTAAGAGTTGGCTGTTTGGAAGCTGATTGTGACTCAAGATTGGTGTTGAGATGGGGCAGCAAGACATGATGTGGAGGTTCCTCTTAATCCTCACCGCTTCCAGCACCATTCACACCAGCACCTTCACGCCTGTAAGATACCCGGAGTTGGATTTGGAGCTCCCTCAGCACTGGGGTGTGGAGCCGATTGACACAGCCATTGATTTCAGTGGAGAAGATGACGACGAGACAGGCCAGCAGAAGGACCCAGATGATGAGGGAGAGATTCTTATGTCAGAACAGTTTATATTGAGGAATGCATCAAGCTCTCCATTCATCACTACACAGCTCAGCCATCCTGTGGTTGGTCTCCCCAGTAAAGCTCAAGCAGACGAAATGCTGACCATCAATACTTTTCCCCAAAGTTCTCTAGTAGATCCTCCAAGTCACAAGCTCACCACTCAAAGGACTGAGCGTCCCACTCCCTGGCCCGTAGTCCTTCTTGAAGGCGTGGCTCCCGCTTTCACTCCTAACAATGCCATTGCTCAACAGCACCCTCTGTCCACCAGTGTCCACATGCAGGAAGAGGCTCCGACTAATGTCCAGCCTCCATCATTTACCAGGTCCCACCTCATGGTTAACGAGGGGAGCCGGGACATCTCCATGGCAACCTTCAGGCCAGTACAAACCGCAGTACTGTTGGTCGCAAAATCAGGGTCTCCTCCAATCACAACAGACCAGTCGCTCGTGGTCGGCCAATCCAGTAGCTTTCATCCTCCCGGGAAGATTGGTCCACTTGGTGTCACAGTTTCTATGGCGACTGTTAGCCACCATCAACCCCAGCGTGATATTATGGAGCTGGTGGTACATTCTGGCTCGCAACAAATCAACACTGTTGGTAATGAGAGCAAGAAGGGTGGGGTTACACCACAACCTCCCAAGTCTCCATTGAGTGATGTTAGCAGATACTTATCCTCCCATCAAAGCACTCATTCCTACATCTCCCCAGAGAGTGGCTACGACATTCACACCTACCCTGCTGACAACGCCACCCTTACCATACAGCTCCTGCACAAATACACACTGGTCAATGATCGAACACCGGACCAACGTGGGACATGGGGCTCTTTCCCCACTGAGATGGTATCCATCTCACCAACAGCAAGGATGCAGCATTTAACCATGAAAGGCGGCAGGCGGGAAGTGACCGATACGGCTAAAGTAGGAAGCTCAACTTATTTCTCGGCAATTGGTGCTCAGAGACAAACATCTACGCCAGTTTACTCACTGCCTACATCCACTGGGAAAGTGAGAGGACAGGACACAACCAATGGCCTGTCCCTGGGAATGACGTGGACCCAGCCCACAGCGCCTGCCGTGTGGCTGACGACAAAAGGGTCAAATAAACCCAACGGCTTTGTGACTGAAAGACCTTTGACCGAGGAAAGGAAAGGAACATCCAGTACTCTGAGACCAGAGGAGACCACAACAACCAATCGGCCATTAACGGTCAATATGGAGACAATAAAGGGTCCTGCAGACAATGGAGGTGAGGTTTCCCCAGCTTTGACAAGGGAGCTGGTAACAGGACACATGTCACTCTTAAGTAAACTTGAAAATACCTAGACCATGAGCTCAAAGGCAAATGGGACTTGAACCACAACTTTCTGATCCAGAGGTGAGAGCGAATGAGCCAGGTTGAGACCAGAGTGGATGGATGGGCAGGAAGGGAAGGGTTATAATGCAAAGATGCTTCTGCTTCTTCTTATAATGTTGCAGGGTTTTAAGCATTATTCATTCCATTCTTGAGTTGAAGCAGCAGACCTTCAACGTTCTGGAATGTAACTATTAAAACAGTAAACAGAAGCCATTTAGGGTTTATAATTAATAATAATAATCCTTACATTTGAAATAGAACCTTATCACATTGTTGAGACGTCTCAAAGCGCTTTACAGAATATACTAAAGTGAATTGACTGTATATTTTGTGGGCGAAATGCGGCAGCCAATTGCGCACAGCAATGTCTCACAATTGAATTGATCAATTTATGGATTGAATTGAATCCAGGTTACTTGCTTGTGAGGTGAGTGCTCTAACTACTGAGCTACAGGACTCCAGTTAGAGAAGAAGCCAGTTAGGGTTTCTGTATCTGGCTGTAAATGTGGGGGTTTTATATCTGGCTGTAATCTGTTTTTTCACCTGTGTGGTTACCGCAGGTGTTACCCAGGCCTCCGAAGGGACTGCCACTTCTAGGATAGTGGCTGCTACCGGGAAACCTGGGATCCATCACACAACCATGGCAACAATAACACCCAGCCGACAGCCAGGTGAGGACCTGATTCTCAAATATGTTTGTGCTAATCTGTAGATCTGAAGCTTTTGCCATTTTGAGGGTCAAACCGTGAAATATGACAAAGGATTTTAGTTTCCTCAGGGCACTGTTTCCTATTGTTTGGAACCTGTTATATTGTATATATATATATATAGATTATATTGGTTTCAATAATCCTATCTGCATTTGGCAATTTATGACTTTCAAGCTTGACCTTTTATCTCAACCTGAGATGTTATAACATTATAGGAACAATTTCAAGAGCAATCCCTCATTATTATTATTATTATTTGAGTCTCTTGTTGGAATCGAGTCAGTCCTCTGTGAACCTTGCCACTGACTGTCTCACCTGCCGACCAACCAGCTCCAGTGAATCATCAGAAAGGAAGTGGAAGATTACCAAAATTAAAAAAGTTAATAATTGACAGCCAACATGGGTTCAGAAAGGGTAGGTCTTGTCTGACCAATCTTAGACCTTTTATGAAGAGGTGACTGCACAGGTTGACTATGAGAAGCCATAAGATATAGTATATCTAGACTTCCAACAGGAGTTTGACAAAGTATCACATGAAAGACTCCTCCACAAGCTGTGGTCAGAGGTATCAAGAGCAAAGCACAGACGTGGATTCAGAATTAGCTGAAGGGAAGGAAGCAGAAGTCACAATGGGGAGGTATTAAGCTGGTGTCTCAAGCGTCTGTACTGTAAGCCCTCCTGTTCCTCATATATATTAATGACCTGGATTTCCAGTGTAAGATAGTCAAAATTGTAGATTATACCAAGTTTGGGAGAACTGTGGAATCAGAGGAGGCAGCAAAAGTCCTATAAAGAGACCTCGATAGGGTTTGCAAAAAGATTATTCTGCAATTTGTTTTCAGCCTTTGAAATCAGGTTAGTGTCCTAGTCCAGTCTGGCACTGTGTGATGTGAGGGTGAGATATACATTTGTAAAAAGCAGCCCACTGTTATAAATAACTTGCTCACATACAGTGTGACATTATAAATAACTAGTGTGTGCTTTCTCTGTAATGTATATCTGGCAAATTCCACATTGTAGTGATCTGAAATGTACTGAAGTGTGAACAGAGAGAGTCGCTGTGTCAGAAATAGAACGTGTTATTTATCTATATATTTACCCATTGATGCTGACCGAATAACGTGCATTTATCCACATCTCTGCTCTCCTGCTCACTGACTGATTACAAGATGGTTACGCTCTGTTTCTGTTCTTCAGATGAGATAATAAACTCAGACCCCATCTGCCTTTTGAGGCAGATGTTAAAAATTCAATAACACTATTGGAAAAGAGAAGGGAGTTTCTCCTAGTGTCTGGTCAACAGTTCTCCAAATCAATTGGTCATTCACGTCACAGCTATTTTTGTGTCTTTGCAGTGTGCATATTAATCTGCATAGTGACTATGCTTGTCAGCATTCATCTGTGAAACACATTAAAACATCTTTGTTTACAGGCATGGTATCAAATTTGATAATTATTTATAAAAAACCTATTTTAGGGGGAAAAATATTTGGTTTCTCCACGGGACGAGACTTCTCTGAGGTCTGGTTTGTGTTGCTATAGCTAAAGGCTGAAAGGTGAAAACTGTCTCCTTGAACGCATCACTGTATAGCACGGTTCAGTGAAACAACTCATGATGGTGTGGTGTTGGTTTAACATTCAGTGATGCTGGATCCTCTCGGCAAAGGTCCAAAGATGGCTAACAATAAACTGAGAAATTTATCCAGTGTAAAGTTCTGAGATGTGAATGTTTCTGTCAAAGATTTTCAGTCCAGTTGTTACCCTATCAGAGATATAAATAGGATGGTGGCTGCGGAAGCCTGTGCTAATAATAGCCATTGACTGCGTTAAAAACTGGACTGAAATCCTAAATTTTGCTGAGGGAGAGAAATCATACCCTTAACCTTGTCTCTGTCTTTCTCAGATAAAATAGAATACAGATTGACATTTATGCAGCGCCTTTAACGTCAGGAAGATGCTTAATGCTCCTTCAGTCAACCTCCTATCCTCTGCCATCCACCCCTCTGATCACACCCCCCCCAGCTCGGGTAAAAATCCTTGACTGCCCATTGCCTTGGGATGTCCTTCCGACATGAAAGGCGATGTACAAATTGTTGTTGTTAACAGTCCTGGCTTGGTACCCGAGCTGGGGGCTGGAGCTGAGTGGAAAGGGGAAAGATAACCAAAAGCCCAGGCAGATGTACATCTTGAAGTGGACCTTTAACAAGACAAGATGAGAAAAGGAGTGAGTCGGAGGGACTCCCAGGATAGTGTTACAAAGAGCAAGGGCAGAAAGCTTGACAGAAAGGCTACCAACCCTCCCTTCTCTTTTCTAATAAAATTGTAGGATTTCTGATGTCTGTCTGAAAAAGCAGACAAGACCTTGGTTTAACATCCAAAGGACGGAACCTCTGACAAAGTGCCACTTGCCCTGGGATGTCAGCTTAGGTTATTGGTTCCCAGCCCTCAACCAGCTGACCCAGAGATGAGTATGCTGGCAACTGATTGAGGGAATGGAGGGACTGGACTATGAAGAGCAATTAGGTAAACTGGACATATTCACGCTAGAGAAAAGAAGGTTGAGGGGCGATATGATTACGGCCTTTAAAATTCTAAAGAGACTAGAAAATGTGATCATGATAAGCTGTTTTATGTACTGAACAGTAGAGCCAAAGGACACAGCCTGCAATTGAAGAGGGTGGGGATAAATTCAGAACAAATCTGCGGAAACACTACTTCAGGAGCGAGTAATGGAACTGGATCTTTAGGGAGACGATGGAAACAGTGTTGATTCATTCAAGTACAAATTAAATTTCTGTTGTGAAATAATATCTCAGGATACAGTCAGTATATGTCCATGTGACTGCTAGGATGGTGGAAGGCGAACTGGATGGACATTAATCTTTATCGCCTAGCAAACTATTATGTTCTTTTGTAACTGAGCCGGGGATGATAGCGACTGAAGTGTCACTTATTGTATCTCTTGCAGGAACCAGTGAGAAAAACGTTAGCACAAAGGGAGCATCCAACAGTTCAGCTGGTGGCAGCAGATCATCTCCAGACTCGGGATACAGATCAGAGTGGAAGCGGATTGTGCCAGTGCATGGCCGGAATCCAGGCCCAACCACTGCCAATCATTCGGGTGAAGATGAATATCGCTCCCGGCCATGTACGTGGGAGGGGAAGTGTGTGTCCAATAGAACCTCCACTGGATGGAATGACATGAAGCGGACGTTGGGCTTTGTCTGGGAGATGCATGTCTATGGAGCAGGGTTGCTCTTTGTTATCCTCATGCTAATATCTGCTATTAATCTGATTGGCTCTTCTATTCTCTACGTTCCAGACCTTGGTTACCTCATGGCAGCTAATGCCCTTTTATTTACATTGGGTCTCTTTAGGCTGTGTTCCTGTTTCTTGACCCATATGGCAGCACCTTCCAAATTTCCTTAACGGCTAGTTTGGTGTTGTACAATATCACGTTCCCTCTTCTCCTCGCCACCCTCGGCATCCTCACCTTGCTGATGCTCAAGATGGGAAGGCTTGAGTTACTGTCTGCAAAGATTCAGAGCCCAGTCTTGTTGACAGTCATCATGGTCATCCACTTGCTGTTGCTAGTAAGTGGAGATCTTCTAATTTTCCTGGTGAACCCTGCAGTGAACATGGTCCTTCATGTCCTCTCAGTTTCGTACGGGGCGCTGCTAATTGCAGCATTTTTTCTAGCATTCCGTAAACTCAAGAAGCGCTCTGAAGCCACCATTGAGCAAATGCAGAAAACTACAATCTGTAATGAAGAAAGCATTGAACTCCAGCATCAGGAAAGGTCATTGAGATGCCTTTTGATTTCCATCAGAATTATGGCCGTCAGTGGTGTCTTTGGGCTGCTTTGCTGTGCACTGCAAGTCTATGCTACTCTGTGGCTGTACGAGATTGTGGGTGAGCGAGGGCTGTTCTACTGGTCTTGGTGGTTCCTTCAGTTCTGGTATCGTAGTTTCGAACTTGCCATGAGCTTTGCCATGAGCTTTGTGGCCTCCTATGCCTTCTGTCAGCCCAATGGGAGGCCTGACCACACCTGCTGGAACAAGATCGTTCAATATTTCCGCCAGTACAGAAAGACCGAGGTGCCTGATTACCCCAACAACTGCTACGATTGGTCAACTGGGACCCAAGAGAGAACCACCAACAATGACATTACCAGGAACCTGATACACAACCCTCCAGAGTGCATGGCTCTCAGATCATTGAAGGAAAGCAATAATGCAAAAACCAAGAGCTTCTACACCAGTGGGTCAATCACCTCTCTGGATTACAGGCCCAGGATACCAGTGCTGGGGCCCAAATCTCACAACATCATGATGGGCCGTTCATTCACCAGCATCTGCATTGAGAAGGAATCCATGATGTCTCTCAATGATTTTGACTTGCGTCCACCCTCCCCTATCAACCTCAGCAGAAGTATAGATGATGCTCTATTCAGAGAACACATTGTTCGAGACAGTCTGTTTAACAGTTCTGGTCTTTATTCCCCAAACTACCTAGCTGTCAAGAACTCCTCCTGTTCCTTGAAAGAGCATATTGATCAGGCTAATGACACGTTAATATCATCGGATTTCAAACGTCGGACGAGCGATCCAGACTTGCTGTACAGCATGGCCAGGTGCAGCTCAATCAGTAATGTCCAGGAGGTTGGGCCTGATCCTTTGACATACAGCCAAGCAGGCAGTAGATTGCAGAGGACAGCTTCGGGCAGTTCCCTGGACACCTTATCCAAGATGTCCCTTGGACTCCATTGGAACCCATGGGCCTGTGACCCGTCCTCAAATGAGAGCGTTCCCCCTGCTGATCCAGCCAGCGAGGACCTCCTCTCGCACAACTCCAGATCACACAATCCTGAAATCAAAGTGGAAGCAGAGGTCCCTGACATTGAGGCACAGAAGAGCTTCATTGAAATAAGAGTGATTGATGACCTCAGTATGTCCAGTGATACGATTGAACTCTAATCCTTGGATCCAACTCTGGTTTCTGGGTTCTAGAGACCAACTCCTTCCACTCAAATAATTGAAATCTGGAAATAACAGAGATAAGGGGAATGAAAGAAGGACACTCCTTGTGGGTGTTAAACCTGACCCAGTCATATCTCTTGTTGGGGAGCAACTCACTCTGCACTTCAGTGTACTCTCACCAGAACAATGTGAGTGTTCCTAGCAGTTCACATCCTTTCTTTTCCATGCATTGGCAATGTACCTCCCAATCCACTACGGAACCACCATCAGATGGTCTTAAAAGAAGAGCTCCTTTGTTAAAGAGGAAGACCTCCTTTGTTTCACTTTGACTGACTGCAATAAGACTCCACTGCACTTTATCTTCTTGAGAATTGAATCAAAACAGCTGGAGAGTTTCTCTATGTAGCTAAGAAGGACTCAGTGGATCTCTGCTTGGCCACCACTCTGTCATATGGTCAACCAAGAATATCTGAACTGGGACCATTGACATCACAATGTATTGAAGAGCCTGGAAATGGAAGATGTCTTGTTATTCAAAGACCATTTTATTTTTCCATTATCTTTTTGACATTATTTGGGTGAAGGAGGATTTGATGCTGAAGGTGTACTCTTTCTGTCACCCAACCCAACTTGACCTCACCCAACCCAACTCCTGCGCAATGGAGGAAGCAAGACCAACTCCTTCTAGTTAATCTGGCTTCTCCCATTGGAAGAGAACGTTGAAAGCAGAATTCTTCACCCATCTCCTGCCAGCTGAATGAAAGAATTAAGAGGCTTCTGCTCAGCAACAGAAGGTGACAAATTTAGTCATAGAAAATTTACTATAACGTACTTCAACTACATACATTAAACTAAAGAAATAAAAAACTCCTGCATAAAGAAATTTAAACCAATATGCAAAACAAAGTCTTGTCAACTATAAATATACCTCCATTTTTCCTAATGGGGTCCAAAATGTGATATTAGTCACTAAAATTATGCATTTCACATGCCATTGTTTCCAAAGTTGTTTGATCCTTGGAGCTTTGAAGCGCCTCAACGACATGATAAAGCGCTTGTATCAAACTCAAGGAATATTATATTATTATTATCCATATTGGATCACTGATGGTGTGTCTGGAGGGGAGCTGAAAGGCTTTGAAATTAGTTCATTTCTGTCCCTGTGAACCTTTCTCATGTTACAGGCAATTGTCAGTAAAATGTGGCTGACGAGAGGTTGGAAAGCAGAGCAGAGCACACACAGGGATAGTTGGAATGCAGGGGACAATCTATCCATTGCCCTGATGGGCACATCTTTGCTTAACTCAACACAGGAACCAGATGCACAGTAATATATTCCCTGTTGTCTGTCCCAGAGACTTGCTTTACTACAAGTTCAGCATTCTGATGGTCTTAACTGGATTCTGAAACACAGCAGGATATTTCACACTTTTGGTAGACTTGTCCATCAAATTTGTTCTAAGTACTGATCTCCGTCCAGTGTTGTTGGGTCTGAGCACCATCCAGTGGTCTGGAACTCCCATTGCACCCTCTGGAGAACCGTAACTTTGAATACACAATGACACTTTTAAAAGATTGGACTGGGTGTACAGTATTTGCATCAGCAATGGATGTATAAGCATGTTGAAGTACTTCAGACTCAAACTGATGTATTTGATGGTTTAAGGAGAGACTATTACAACAGACGAGGTGCTCACAGAGACAGAAAACACTCCGAGAGCTGATCAGCTGCTTCAAGCAAAGACTGAAGTGCAGTACTCCAGCACTTGCATGTGATTATCTAAAACCTGAACTTGGTCAGGCAACTTAACACGAGGATCAACCACACTCCACCTTCTCCACATGTATATAGCCAAAACAATCAACCTTTGTGAGAATCTTATGTTTTCACAATATTTCCAATTGGCAATGGGGAAAACATTTGTGGTATTCCTTAATTAACACTGCTAACTAACTAAAACATTTATTGCATATTTTATCTCACAGTTCACTGCTTGCCTTCAGGAATGTTTGGTGGTCAGGTTTTTGCTTACCTGTGAGGTATGTGTTGTGCGGAGTGTGGCCAGAACACTCAGTGACAGCCGAGACTGGAAGACCCCAGAATGTGCGTTGCGAGGTACTGTTAGTTAGACTCCAGCAGTTACCCCAATGCGCTCTGGGGTTTCCAAGCCTTGGCTCTTGCCAACGTGCATCTAATACTCTCTGGAATTAGTTAACCAGGATGTGTCCCTCCAGGGAGAGTGTGTGTATTCCATTCTAGGCACGGAAATTTCCATGTGTACATGGCAGACAAGGAACTCTCAATCTGGTTTGGATACTCGGAAACATGCTGATGTATTTTCGTGTGCGTCGAGCACCATGCTGACCAAAAAAAGCTCCAACTTAACATCAGTGGAAACTTAGCTTATTAGAATAACACACTAGTTCTGAGGCCCTTATGAAAAATGTTCACTTTGCACAGAGTAAAGACCTACTCACAATCTCTATAACTGGTATTTTTCATTCCATAACCTGAATCCAGCTGGCATTTGTGCAATAAAGATATTGTTTGATATATTTAGATCAAGGCAATGGGAGACTTAAGAAAATCCATGGAGTTTAATACTTTTCATACAGTGTGTGATTAATAGAGTGTGTATATTATTTTCTATAAGTATGTATGTCAGTTTGTGAGAGATGAGTACATGTATAGATGAAGGGGAAAGTGGGTGTAATTATAAAGAGTGCGTGGACTGGGTGTATAAGAGTAATGTGTATAATAATAATAATAATAATAATAATCCTTGCATTTGATATAGCGCTTTTCACGTCGTGAGGACGTCCCAAAGCGCTTTCATAGAACACACTGTAAAGTGAATTGACTGTATATTTGTGGGTGAACGCAGCAGCCAATTGCGCACAGCAATGTCCCACAAATAGTCGTAGATTGAAAATGACCAATTTATTATTGTTTTTGGTTTTGGAGGGATTATTATTAGGCTCTGTGTGGAGTAAGGAAACTTGCCCAAGGTTTCACCCTCTGCCTGGGATTGAATTCAGGTCTCTCGCTTGCAAAGCGAGTGCTCTAACCACTGAGCTACAGGACTCCTTTGTATGATTGTATAAAGGGGATAAGAATATTGTATTCAGTTTTGGGTGCCACATCAGGGGAAAGACGTACTGGCCTTGGAGTGGGTACAGAGTTAACAGCACTTTATTTGGACTGAAGGGGCTAAAATATGAGATTGAGCAAATTTAGGTCACATTCCCTTGATGTGTGAATGAAGGTTGATCTGTTTGAAGTGCTGAAAAAGGATTTGACAAGATAGATGGAGAGAAATTTTTCCTTCAAGTAGGGGAATCCAGAACAAGAGGCGTCATCTTAAAATCAGAGCTGAACCAGTTAAGAGGGAAATCAGAAACAAATCTTCACACAAAGGATGGTGGAAAAGTGGAATTTACTACTCCAAAAGAATTTGACAAAGTGCTATATAATAAACTTGTTAGCAAAATTGAAGCCCATGGGATTAAGGGAACAGAAGCAGCATAGATCCAAAATTGGCCTGGAGACGGAAAGTAGCGGGTAATGGTGAATGGCTGATTTTCAGACTGGAGGGAGGTGTACAGTGGTGTCCCTCAAGGTTCACATTGGGATCACTGCTCTTTTTAATATATATTAATGACCTGGACTTGGATATAGGAGCAACATTTTAAAGTTCACAGATGACACATTACTTGGAAGCATAGTAAACAGTGAAGAGGACAGTAGCAGACTGCAGGAGGACATAGACAGGCTGGTGAAATGGGCAGACAAGTGGCAGATGGAATTTGATGAGGAGAAGTGGGAAGTAATGCATTTTGAGAGGAGGAATGAGGAGAGGCAATATAAGAGAAATGGTACAATTTTAAAGGGGGAACAAAGACCTGGGGGTTCACATACACAAATCTTTGAAGGTGGTAGGGCAAGTTGTCAAAGCTGTTAAAAAAGCTCATGGGATCCTTGTTTTTTTATAAATAGAGGCATAAAAGCAAGGAAGTTATGCTGAACGTTTACAAATCACTGGTTAGGCCTCAGCTGGAGTATTGTGTCCAATTCTGGGGAGAACACTTTGGGAAGGATGTCATGGAGTTGGTGAGGGTCAGAGGAGATTTACAAGAATGATACTGGGGATGAAGGACTATAAATATGTGAAGAAACTAGAGAGGCTGGAAATATTCTCCTTACAGCAGAAAATGTTGAGGGAGATTTTAATTGAGGTGTTCAAAATTATGAGGAGTAGATCGGGAGAAACTTTCTGATGGTGGGTGGGTCGGTAACCAGAGGACACAGATTTAAGGTAATTTGCAAACGAACCAGAGAGATGAGGAGAATTTGTTTTTACTCAGATAGTTGTTGTCTGAACTACCAATTAATCCCACTCCTCCACTCTTACACCATAGTCCTGCAATTTTTTTCATTTTTTAAGTACCTATCCAATTCCCTTTGGAAAGCTATTATTGAATCTGCTTCCAGCAGGACTATGGTGTAAGAGTGGGATCAGTTGGTAGCTCTTTCAAAGAGGCAGCACAGGCACGATGGGCCAAATAGCCTTCTTCTGTGCTGTAAAATTCTATGAATCTATGAAAAGGTTGCAGATGCTAGAAATATTTAAGAGAGATGGATGAATATTTGGTGGGCAGGTATCAGGAAGAGAGTGAAAGAGTGGGGAAATGAGAGTAAGCTACATGTCAATCATGCTCTAATAAAACGTTGAAGAGTGGGCTGAATGGTCTACTCCTGTTCCTGTGTCTGTGTGTTCTTCAACTGAAGACATATATAAAAGTGGTTGTGATGGCTGTGTGTTTATGTGTGTGGGTGAAAGGCATAACTTTGAGGTAACTTTGCCTATGAGATCTTGCCTCCATCAGTGGAGGTTACTGATTCACAGAAGCCCAGTCCTAAATTATTTGGGAGCTTTGTAAGAATTGGGTTTGCATCAGCACCTTTAAATGATAAAGATTGTGGTACTGGTTGTGAACATTTAATGACAGGTTTCCGCTATGACACCGCCATGTCTCCATGGTTAACTTTACTGTTCACTCAACAACAACTTGCATTTATATAGCACCCTTCATGCTGGACGGTATCTTGTGGAGTCCTGTAGCTCAGTGGTTAGAGCACTCGCTTTGCAAGTGAGAGCCCTGAGTTCAATTCCAGGCAGAGGGCGAAACCTTGGGCAAGTTTCCTTACTCCACACTCCTAATAATAATCCCTCCAAAAACCAAAAACAATAATTAAATTGGTCATTTTCAATCTACGACTGTTTGTGGGACATTGCTGTGCGCAATTGGCTGCCGCGTTCGCCCACAAATATACAATCAATTCACTTTACAATGTGTTCTGTGAAGCGCTTTGGGACGTCCTCCCGACATGAAAAGCGCTATATCAAATGCAAGGATTATTATTATTATTGTTGTATTGCTTACTGAGATCCTGGAGCTGAACATTCACTCAGATCAATACTCAAAAGCCATGCTGATTAATCTGAACAACAATTAGCACAAACGACTGGGGTCTATTTCATGGATTGGAAAAATATATTTAATAAGATAAATGTAATAAGTGAACCTTTTATCTGAACGTGATCTAGTTTCCCATAAGTCCTATTGGAATCTGTTGGCCAAAATATATTTTATTTTTTTTAACATAAATTGAGGTCCACAATTTTTATTGCATAAATTATCATAGATGGATTAAGGTTCATCTGTTTTATTTTTGCTCCTGATTGTATCCTCAAAAATGTGGTCTCATGGTGTTCCAAATGGAAATTGAAAATGCCTGTCAGCGTGGGCTAGGGAGTACGCTATACATGGTGGCCAGAAATGTGATATAGCAGTAATGATTGCCCTTCGTATCTGCAGATGGTCATTCACACAGTGTGAACGCCAACGTGCATGAATTTGTTTATAGTGTAGAAGCTGCTGCCCGCACAACGACCACTCCTAGGTAGCGAGCAGTGTAACCTGGTGTCGGGCATGTCTGAGAAGACCAGACCACTTGCTTACCGCATTGGCAGAAACCATTACCCCTAGAAAGTGATCTATCAATGGACTAACATCCAGGTTCCTACTTACTGCTTGTTGAACAGAGGCATTTGGAGAAAGGAAACTTGCTTAAGGTTCGCCAATCAAACCCGGGTCCTCTCACTTGCAAGGTGAGTACACTAACCACTAAGCTACAGAACTCCTAAGATAGAGCAGTACACTGTACATGGATGCCAGAATGGGCAGAGGGATACTTTGAGCCAGTCTGGGCTTGAGCGTTAGTAATTAAGGACATTCACCTAGAAAGGATTACTTTGCGTAAGTAGACCAGTATAAATGGCAAGCTCTGCAGTTGATGGTCAGACTCCAGCAGTTACCTCAATGCTCGCTCTGGGGTCCCTAAGCCTTCACTCTTGTCTCTAATGCTTTTCGGAGTTAGATAAGCAGGATGAGTCCCTCCAGGGAGAGAGTGCACATTCCATTCTAATAAATATCTCAGGAATTTCCATGTAAAGGTGGGATGCCTGGAATTCTGTTTGATTGGGATACTCTTAAGCAATGTGATGGGTCGCCGCCTGTGTCAGCCACACGGCTGACCAGAAAAAATACCAGGATAAATTAAATGGAATGAATGCATTGCCAATGATATTTCTGTATAGTACATTTTGCACAGCTAAAGCACTATAATTATTCAAGATTCACTTTAATCTCTCAGCTGCTTCTCATGTTATTTTACAGCAGATACACAAGCAAACAAAATATACATTTTTTATGTTTTGTCGATATAATAAACCAAATATTTCTTTTCTCTGGCCTGGGTGTCCCTGCTGCTTCCTGCTCGCTCTGTCTGTCTGTGTGTATGTCTCTGTGTGTGTATGTCTGTCTGTGTGTGTCTGACTTGTGTGTCTGTCTGTCTCTGTCTGTCTGTGTGCGTGTGTGTCTGTATGTCTGTGTGTGTCTGTCTGTCTGTGTGTGTCTGTCTGTCTGTCTGTCTGTCTGTGTGTCTGTCTGTCTGTCTGTGTGTCTGTCTGTCTGTGTGTGTCTGTCTGTGTGTGTCTGTCTGTCTGTGTCTGTCTGTCTGTGTCTGTCTGTCTGTGTGTCTGTCTGTCTGTCTGTCTGTGTGTCTGTGTCTGTCTGTCTGTGTCTGTCTGTCTGTCTGTCTGTCTGTGTCTGTCTGTCTGTCTGTCTGTGTGTCTGTGTGTGTGTCTGTGGCTCTGATCTGTGTCTCCCCCTAATGTCACTCTCAGTGTCACTTTCCCTGTCTCCCAGACAGCGGCACATCACGTGGCACAACACAGTGAGTACCAAACCTTCCCCCAAACTCCGCAAACCTTCCCCCAAACTCGGCACAAAGTGTCCTTCAAACTGCATTTTGGAGGCGGATCGCTGAGGATTCCGCACCTCAGCCGATGGTTTTCCTCCTGACTGACCCCTGCACTGCATCCTCAGTGAGTGCGGGGGGGGGGGGGGGGAGTGCGGGGGGTGCGGAGGGTGCGGGGGGGGGGGGAGTGCGGGGGGGGGGAGTGCGGGGGGTGCGGGGGGGGGGGAGTGCGGGGGGTGCGGGGGGGGGGAGTGCGGGGGGTGCGGGGGGGGGGAGTGCGGGGGTGCGGAGGGTGCGGGGGGGAGTGCGGGGGGGGGAGTGCGGAGGTGCGGGGGGGGGGGGGGGTGCGGGGGGGGGGGGGGGGAGTGCGGGAGCGGCTTCAGGGCTGTGATTTACGGGTCTGTTTGGAGCGCGTTTTATTATAGGAAAAATCAATTGAGAAATGTGGCGTCAGATTCGGCTTTGGCTCATTTGAAACCCACTGCCCCCACACCCCCCACTGCCCCCCACCCCCCCCCCACTGCCCCCCACCCCCCACACCCCCCCACTGCCCCACCCCCCCCCCCACCGCCCCCCCCCCCCCCCCCCCCCCCCCACACCCCCCCCACCTGCCCCCACACCCCCCCCACGCCCCCACCCCCCCCACCGCCCCCCACACCCCCCCCCCACCGCCCCCCACACCCCCCCACACTGCCCCCCACACCCCCCCCCACGCCCCCCCCCCCCCCCCCCCCCCACCCCCCCGCCCCCCACTGCCCCCCCACACGCCCCCCCACCCCCCCCCCCACTGCCCCCCCCCCCCACTGCCCCCCCCCCACCCCCCACTACTGCCCCCCCCCCACTGCCTCCCCCCCCCACTGCCTCCCCCCCCCCACTGCCTCCCCCCCCCACTGCCCTCCCCCCCCCACTGCCTCCCCCCCCCACTGCCTCCCCCCCCACCCACTACTGCCCCCCCCCCACTACTGCCCCCCCCCCCCCACTACTGCCCCCCCCCACTACTGCCCCCCCCCACTACTGCCCCCCCCCCCAGGCACTGGGGCAGGAGTCATCCCATTCAGCTCCCATTAACCCTGCAAGCGAGAGTCCTAACAGGTAGGGTGGTCCTAGTTGGACAAGTAGCGGAAAAACTTGTCAGGCAGTACTATCAATGGCAAGCTATGCAGATTTAGCTGCTTAGACTCCAGCAGTCACTCCAACATACACTCTGGGGGGCCCGAAGCCTTGGCTCTTTCCAATCTGCACCTAATGCTTTCCGGAGTTAGGTAAGCAGTATGTGTCGCTCCAGGGAGAGAGTGCATTCCATTCCAACGACCTATCTCTGAGATTTCCATGTGTAGGTGGGATGCATAGAATTCTCAGCTTGGCTTGGTTACTCTTAAGCCTGGTGATAGGTTTCCGCGTGTGTCAGACAACTGCCTGACTAAAAAAAATCTCTACAGATTTTTTGAGACTCAGAAATGTCTGGATATAAAATATCTATTGTTACAAAATGTATTGTAAGGGGAGGATTAGGGTTTATCTAGTTATTTCAAGTAGCTGACTCTTCGCTCCACTACGTGGCGATGCATTTCACTACAGCGTTGCTTGAAGCTCCAGTGCCCCCATACTGCTAAACCAGCCACATCTCCATCTGTGATCTTTGTACAAGTGAGTGAAACCCTACCCAGCTATAATTAAGGACCTCGGGTCAGGAGGAGCCTATTCCATCCACTGAGCCTGCTCTGCCAGTTTATTAGAACATAGCAGACTTTCAGTCTTAAAAGGAGACCTCTCAAAGGAGAGGTGTGTAACATTTTAAATGGGATTAAAAAAGTAAACCCAGATCAATAATAATAATAATATTTTAAGGTGCACCAGGGCAGTAGAACAGGAGGACACAGGTTAGATTTGTAAAGGGTAATTTCAGGACACACACCAGGAAGTTTTCCTTTACCCAGAAGAGAATTTACAAATGGAACAGATTATCAGGAGGATAGTTGAGGCCAGGACAATGGGACTCATTAAAAAAAAGCAGCTTGTTGTTGTGCTAGGAGAATGGTAGGATGAGTGTTCAGAAGACATAAGAAATAGAAACAGGAGTAGGTCATTCGGCCCCTCGAGCCTGCCCCCCCATTTAATAAGATCATGACTGATCTTCTAACCTAATTCCATTTACCTGCCCTAACCCCATATCCCTTAATCCCTTTAGTTTTTAAAAATCTACGATCTCAGTCTTGAATATGTTCAAGGACTGAGCACCCACAGCCTTCTGGGGTAGAGAATTCCATAAATTCACTGCCCTCTGAGTGAAGAAATGTTTTTCAGTTCTAAAAGGCTGACCTTTAATCCTGAGACTATGACCCCTAGTTTTAGATTCTCCAACCAGGGGAAACTGTCTCACACTATCTACTCTGTCAAGACGCTTAAGAATCTTATAGATTTCTATAAGATCACCTCTAATTCTATATTCTAAAGAATATAGACCTAGTCTACTCAACCTCTCCTTGTAGGTCAACTCCCTCATCCCAGGAACCAACCTAGTGAACCTACGTTGCCTCCCTTCTAAATGAGTATATCCTTTCTTAGAGAAGGAGACCAAAACTGCACACAATATTCCAGGTGCGGTTTCACCAAGGCCCTATACAATTGCAGTAAGACTTCCCTACTCTTGTACTCTAACCCCTGGGCCGAAGGGCTTTCTTTATCCAAATTAATCTTGTGATATTGTGAAATTTGATTCCTTTTCCCTGCCTTTGCTCCATATCCTTTAAATAGCTTTACTTCTCAAGTATATATTGATCTCCATTTTAAAACCTGTCAATTGAATTAGAGTGAATTGGATGGAATTTTGAAGATGAAGAGGATGGGGTTGCAGGAAGATAGGGAGAGATGGGTTTTGAAAGAGTCACTCCTACAGCAAGGCTCCAGATAGAGCGTGCTTCTCTTCATTGGGTTATGGAGTAAAATAATCACTTTGCACACAGGTTTTGGAGGGATCCCTGCTCCCATATCAGCACAATCCAAGAACAAAGAGCCCAGACAATGTCATTTCCGAATCAAAGTAGGAGTGTGGGTAAGTTGGAGACATCATACCAGGAAAATCAGATGTGAAACTCAGTTTAGATGCTTTAACCCTCCCTCCCCCACCTCCTTCAAGGCCTATCTCAGTACCATCCTCTTTGACCATACCTTCGGTCACCCTCCTACCCCTACAATCCCTGCCCTCCATCCCTCCTGTTTCTAACCCCCAGCTCAGGTGCAAATCTCTAACTGTCCAGTGCCTTGGGACATCCTCCCGACGAGGCATTGAAAGGCACTATACAAATGTAATTTGTTGTTTAGCATATCTGTATTTTCACTCTCAGCCATCCTTCAGATGAGACATTATACTAAGGTTGTGTCTGCCCTTTCAGGTAGAAGTTAAAGATCCCATGGCACTACTCAAAAATAGGGAATTTCTCCTGGTGTTGAGATTGACAATCCCTCAGATAAAATTGGTCATCATTTAATGGCTATTTGTGGGACATTGCTCCCTGCAAATTGGCTCCTACAAAATACAGCCATTACACCTTACAGTATAACTTATGAAGCTCCTTGAAACATTTTGCTGATGTGAAAGGCACTATATCAAATGCAAAGATTATTATTATAATTTCAACGTCTCACCTATATTTTACATCTTTGGTTTGAAATTGGAAACTTTGCTGTCTTCCTCCTATGCGCTGAATAATTTGTTGAATAAGCTTCTCCCCCATCCCCCCAGGATGCTAAACCACCCACCTCTCCCCCTTAGAAAGTGAGAGCCCCCTCCCCCTAACTGAAGCTGTAGATCTGCAACAATGAAAAGTCATTCACTCTGAGTATTGCAGCATTGTCTCCAACACTAACTGTGGCAGACACTTTGAGAGTTAATACTGATGCAGTCTAACTGTGTTTAACCTTTCCCCAAGTTTTAATTAGGCCGTTGAAGGAAATTTCCCAAATGTCTTTTTTTTCCTTTAACCAGGACAAAAATCATTGCAGTGCTCCCCAGTGGGCAGGAGCAGCAGAGCCCGTGTTGCCCAGCGCATCTTCACTGTCACACCCTTGTTCCTGCCCAAAGTGAGCCAGGCCACCGTGCCGCTCTCTGTCAGCCAGGTACACAGCTGCCCAAGAGCCTGAAACGGTGAAGATGAGTTAATTGGAGGGTTGGGTGTGAGGAGAGGAGGCCGGATGCCAGGAATGTTCAAACTGGGAAAGAGTCATCTGGAGAAGGATCTTATTGAAGTATTCTCTATCCTAAATAACTTACTGTCTGCTCAAAGCATCAATCACAAGGGCATTACAGGAGGCAGCGAGGGGAGACGTTGAAATTTACACAGAGGGAGAATTTTTGCCGGGAAAGGGGTGGAGGCAGCTGATGGGGTCATGTGAAGAGGGAGCTGGATGTAGTTTTGGTGTGGAATGGGATTGAGGGGCATGTGTGATGGGGTAAAATTGGATTTCAACCTTGCTGACAAGGGATCTGAGCCTTGCTCATTAAGGATTGGTCAGTGTGTGGGACGTCCTCCCGATGTGAAAGGCGCTATACAAATGTAATCTTGTTGTTGTTGTTGTGTGTACACGGTGACTGGTCAGTATGTACATGATGGTTGTGCTTACAGGGTGATTGATCAGTGTGTACTTGTTGATGGTGTGCACATGGTGACTGGTCAGTAAGTACACGGTAATTGTGTGTACATGATGACTGGTTAGTGTGTACATGGTGATTGTGTGTACACGGTGACTGGTCAGTGAGTACATGGTGATTGTGTGTACACGGTGACTGGTTAGTGTGCACATGGTGATTGCGTGTACAAGGTGGCTGGTCAGTGAGTATAGCAGTAGCTGATCTGTGATTTCTGTTACAGTGCGGCCCACATATTAATCCTCTACACCCACCTGGTGTAAAGCGACGAACAGTCAGTCTGGAAACCCTCTCAGCTCATCATCACAACCAGCAGAGAGTCACGGTGATGCAGCAGAAAGAGTATAACAGGTAGGGAAGGTGCCACATAGTGGGATTTCAACCTTGCAAAGTAGATCGGAGACAAACAGGAATGGGATTAGAGTAGAGAGCTCCAGGAGCTGGGGGTGGGGTCAGACACATTGGGGATAGAGCAGAGAATGGGATTCCAGTAGAGAATTCCAGTGAGGGAGCGAGCACCAGCACAGACATGATGAAGAGAGAGCAGGGGAATGGGATTATAGTAGAGACCTCCAGTGGAGGTCTAAAAGGACTGATATCAGACACAAGCTTCACTGTTGTTTTATTGTGTAGGTATCACCAGGGATGGCAACGGCCATTTTATGGGTCTGTGGCCGAGAAGGAGGAATATAGGTAAGAGAACAGGCTCATTGTGCAGGCTCTGCACTGAGATGGTCTACACAAGTAAGTATGAGCAGGTGTGTGTCTGTGCGTGTGCACATAAATGTCAGTGATCAGATAAGTGTAAGTATGTACTGGTGAACAGGTGAGTTTGAGTGTGTACAGGTGAGTGTGCTTTGTGCTGGTGAGTGTGTAGGTGACTACATGCATGTGAGTGTCCGTTTGTGCAGGTGAGTGTCCATTTGTGCAGATGAGTGTCCGTGTGTGCAGGTGAGTGTTGGTTCAGTCTCCAGTTGCAGTCTGAAGCTTCACCGAGTCCAGTGACTAAAAAAACTCACATTTTTCCCCATCAATTGTGTTTACAAGCAAAAACAGCCAAGATATTCATAACAAGCTCCCACAACTAACTATATAGTGAATGATCAATTAAGAATTATTGGCCAGGACACTGGGAGTAACTCCCTTTCTCTTTCCTAATAATGTCGTTGGATCTTTAATGTTTTTTAATGTTTAATCTGAAACATTGTTGGAGTGTCAGTCTTGACTGGAGCGTCAAATCCCAGCGAGGGGCTTGAACCCACAACCTACTGACTCAGAATCGAGAGCATTCCTGACTGAGCCGACACTGATCTGATGGAATCTCTCTCTCTCTGGGTTGCCAGGTACGAGATCCGTCAGCTGCTGAAATGGCAGATGAGCCAGCGCTGGGAGGGGCAGCGCCATGCCCTGATCGATCGTATCCGGGAGGGAGAAGCCGCCAGCGAGGCACAGAGGCAGGAGCTCCTGCGGGACCGCGAGAAGCAGGTCATCCGCGCACGCTTCCTCCAGGCATTCCGGGACGAGAACAAGAGGGTGAGACACGCCGTGAAGAGGCTTTTCAACACACCACAGGGCTCCATAAGCATTGGTTCTTGCCAACCTGCACCAATTATTTTCTGGGATAAGTTTAATGAGTGGATGGCTCGGTCAGTGAGATGGAATGTATGTTCCATTCCAAACAAAGGGAAATTTCCATGCACATGTGGAGCTCTCAGTCAACAGTTTAGGTTTGGATGTGAAACACAGTGATGGGTTTCCGCTGGCATGAGATAATCACATCAAAAGTCAGTCAGTGTCCCTCTGTCCACGTCCCTCTGTTAATCAGTGTCTGTCAGTCAGTGTCTCTCTGTCCATTTTTTTGGTCAACCGGGTATCTTGACACATGTGGAAACCCATCACCTTGCTTAAGAGTATCCAAACATGTCACCTTGGAACCAGTTTGTCTCCGAGGAGATTCTGCTTTATCTCCCCCGAACAAAGAGGATATTCACTAGTTGGTCATTTGACATATGACAGGCGCAGGTTTGAGCCCTCACTAGGTGGATAGTAGGTACCAGAAACTCCTTGTGAGCTTCCCGGTGGGCAACTCAGCTTAGCGTGAAATGTGCAACAGCATTGCCACTGTTTTCCTGTGCACAGCTGTTCTGCTAAATGTAGAAGTGTTTCACAGTTTGACAGGAAGTGGCCATCTATTTCTCGGTGGAGCTGAGCTCAGCCCTTATCCATGCAGTAAAATCAATGTGTATGGGAAAAGAATAAGGAGTGGACGTAATGTAGCCTTAAGAATAAAACATTCACTGGAATAGAGAAGTAAAGGGAATTGCAGGCAGAAACGTAAATGACTCCAGTTGGTGCAGTGGGTACAAAGAGCGACTAAGGGCAAATGGGATTTCAAAATAAGGATATCAAATATTAAAAAGCTTACCCTTTCTCTGTAATTAGATAAGCATGTGCAGAGGAAGGGAGTGCGAGGACAAGCTGCGAATTGGGATGGATGGCTTCATTAGAGAACAAACACCAACATTAATACAGTGGGTGAAATGGCCTCTTCCTGTGTAGTAGTGCCTGTATTCTGTCTCCTGTATCCAAACTCTCGGATACAATAATTGCTGGAATATTTAATTATCTCACCTTGCCAGCCTTCTTTCCTAGTTAGTGCAGAGCATAGTGATGGCCCACATTCCCTGAGGGGCTTCATATACATAGCGCTCACACACAGGCTGTTGTTTCTGCAGATTATCCAAGCCGACTCTTTCAGCACCATGGAGCTCAGAGTGCTGCCGGTGGCTGACTGTCAGAGAGAGAGGCCTGAGCCACAGCTCAGCTGACTATGTACTGGGTGAACAAGGTCTTTTGTCTAAGGCTCTCTTTGTGTCTCACTCTCTCCCCTCAGTTGATGGAAATTCAGTGGAAGGAGAAGAAGTTAGCGAAGTCCCTGGACTCGCTGAGAGAACGTGAGCTGCTTCAGTATAACCCCATCAACTGGAGCTGCACACTCAAGTAGGCCTCAGGCCCACCACCAGTCTTCTATCATCTTTCGCTCAGCAGATAGGAACCCGGGAGCTGGTGATGGTGTTTTATTTATATCAATAATAATCTTTGTTTGATTCAGCGCCTAAAAGGTTGAAACATCTCAAAGCGCTTTGCAAGGAATTGCTGTCAAATGTAGTGACTGTGTATTTGTAGGCAAATGTAGCAGCCAATTTGTACACAGCAACAATTTGTCCCACAAATAGCCATGAATAAATGACCAATTTTCTCTGGGAGTCAGGACATTGGGAGAGACTCCCTTCTCTTTTCAAGTCATGAAATGCACATCTGAACAAACACGACCTCGGTTTAAGTTCTCATTCAAAGATGGCATCTTCCAACAAAACAGCTCTCCTGAAAGCTGCAATGGAGTTTCAGCCTACACTGTGAGCTCAAAGTCTCAAGAAGAGGCTTGATCACACTCATCTTCAAATTCCTTCATGCCCTGGCACCTCCCTAAGTCTCCAACCTGCTTACTCTCTCAACCACTGCCCACTGCCTCCACTCAACTGGCTCCGGCCTCCTGCTTGTCCCTCGTGCCCTCCGTTCCACCATCGCCGGCCGCGCTTTTAGCCACGATGCTCCGAAACTTTGGAACACTCTTCCTCTGTCCATCTGCTTTGCCCCCTCCTTCTCCATCTTCAGATGAAAACCTTCCTGTTCAAACGTGCTTACGGTCAGATCCCACTCAGCTCGTGCTCTGCCACTGTCAAGCACTCTGGGACACTGCCTTGCCTGCAAATACAAGTTGTATTGATTGCGCAGCGCCTTGGGATGTCCTCCTGATGTGAAAGGCGCTATATAAATGTAATTTTGCTGTTCATGTTGAACCCACTGCCCCAGAGGCAAGAGTGCAACTGAATAGGCCAAATTAATCTTTATGTAAATTAATCTATCTTCTGTAGGACTTCATGAAGATTAATTTCTGCTCTGCTTTAACAATCACGCTACAGCCAATATACAACACAACAGTAGCCCTAGAGCTCAGGACGCAGTCATAGCTTAGGCACGGAAGTCTATCTAATGACTTTGCATCTCTCCTCAGCTGACAGAAAGACAGTGGAAGGAGGTGTTGGCATTTGCTGAACAAAATTTAATTTCTATATATATTGTATAAGTATTCATTTTGCAGCCAGCTTCTGTAGGAATTTTTGGGGGTTAGCCGGGCGTCCAACAAATGCGGAAACCCATCAGCATGCTCAAGAGTATCCAAACCAAAGTGAGAATTCCATGCATCCAATCTACACATGAAAATTCCAGAGGTAGATTGTTGGAATGGAACGCGCACTCTCTCCCTGGAGGAAAGCATCCTGCTTATCTAATTCCGGAAAGTATTAGGCACAGGTTTGCAAGAGCAAAGGTTTGGGGATCCCAGAGGTGCGTTGGGGTAATTGCTGGATCTAACCAGTTAAAACCATATAGTCTTGATATCGCTTTCTGGCAACTTTTCACACTGCTTGTCCAACTAGGACCCAATCATTAGGGCTTTGGCTCGCAGGGTTAACAGGAGCTGATGGGATGAAACCCAGAGACTGGTCTGCTCTTCCAAGTGCTGTCGATGAGCCAGGCTGGCTGTGCTGTCATCAGCAGTGCCCTGGAATACTGCGGACCTGTCTGGCTCAGGAACCAGACTAACGAGACCACCGCAGAGTACTGGCTTGATTCTGACATTCTGTTGCTAAGCATGTCACTTTGGAGCCAGTTAAGCTCCAAGGACACCCCACTTAACTCCCCCCAAGCAGAATAGTCATTAGTTGGTTGTTCGACATCCGACAAGTGCGGGTTTGATCCCTTACCAGGTGGACAGTAGGTAACAGGAACTCCCTGCGAGTATCCCAGTGCGCAAAGTATCTCTGCATGAAATGTGTGAGAGCATTGCCACCATCTTCTTGTCCACAGCTTGGCCACACATTCCTTCCCGTTGAGTGATGGTTTCATAAATGGGAGGTATGGAGTTTAAACAGCAGCTGCTTGCATCTCTGGAACCTAATCAAGGTGGATTCCAGGTGCTGGATGTACAAACATAACAACATAACGTGTAGGAGCAGGAGTAGGCCATTCGGCCCTTCAAGCCTGCCCTGCCATTGAATCATGGCTGATCTTCTAATCTAACTCCAGCTAATAACATACCCCTGCCTTATCCCCATATCTCTTAATCCCTTTTGCAAAAAAACATGTTTTCACAAACTCAGACTCCAGGTATCACCTTCCAGCAGTGTTTCCCCAAGACTCAGTTTCCTCATCAGTTGACGGTAAGATGGTTCTATTATCCTTAAATGTACACCAACGATATGGTTCGCTCTCCTTTGCAGAGTGTACTGTGTGGCCTGTGTTTAATCCTCACTAATGAATGCAAGTCCCTATAACTAGGTGTAACTTGACTGATGAGTTCTTCTACGACGACAGGTACTACCAAGTGCTATTTAAATTAAAGCAAATCGGGAAGCTTCAGTCAATCAGAGATTTATTTTACACCTCTGTGACCTAGGCTGAACATATTTGTGTATTCCCTCCTTTGATTTATACAGAAAGCTCGAGAAAATACAGTTAAATTAGCTCAATGGAATTTTATTGTAGTTTCAATCAAATCCATAACCCTCAGTATTAAATCTTAAATGACACAATAAATATCAACAAACACAACTATGAGATAAGAAACATTAATCCCACTTAAACTATACAAGCTAGCAGCCATTTGTAACAAAGTTAATGTAAAAGTGCATGAAGAACCAACCTCTGAATAGTACTCATTAAGAGTCAGAGCCTTTGACCTTTATTGTCATCAGGTTGTAAAATAGTGACCATGAGCACCTGATGCACATTCTTTTATGGGCATTTGAACCCCTCCCTGAATTAGGGTACCCACTGGTAATTGTATTGCACCAATTACTTGATGCAATTGGTGTCTTTTTTACAGTCCAATCAGATCCTCCTCTCAGTTGCCCAATAGGGGCAAGTACACTCCCAATGCTTCATTGCATATTGGAATGGTAAATTACTGTCAAATTGTTGCAATTGATGCTAGAGTCAGATTTGATGGCATCATAAGTATCAAAAACGTTAAAAGCATTAAAAAATGGATTTAAAGCACTACTCAATATATTTAAACAACAGATAGGCACGGAAACAAAAGGGGTGACCGTGAGAACGGGCATCTGCCTTCAGCGTGGTGGGTGGACCTTTGCAGGACAGCTCATGATGTGCCAACCATCTTGATGTTCTCGAGGTCCAAGTTCAATGTTGTACACTCAGCAAAGCTGCTCAAGGGGGCTGGAGAGGAAATGATGCATCAGCTGAAACGAGAGTTGGTCAGACCCCATCTGGAGTACTGCGTTCAGTTCTGGGCACGACCCCTCAGGAAGGATATATTGATCCTGGAGGGGGTGCAGTGCAGATTCACCAAAATGGTACCAGGGTTTAAAGAGTTAAATTATGAGGACAGGTTGCATAAACTTGGTCTGTATTCCCTTGAGTTTAGGAGGTTGAGGGCTGATCTGATTGACATTTTTAAAATGAGAAAGGGATTTGATAGGGTAAATACAGAGAAACTATTTCTTCTAGTAGGAGAATACAGAACAAGGGGGCATAATCTTAACATTATAGCTGGGCCGTTTAGGAGTGAAATCAGGAAGCATTTTTTCACCCAGAGGATAATTGAAATCTGGAACTCCCTCAAAAGGCTGTGGATGATGGATCCATTCAAATTTTATAGACTGAGGTGGATAGCTTTTTATTAGGTACAGGTATCAAGTGATATGGGGCAAAGGCAGGTATTTGGAGTTAATGTACAGATCAGCCATGATCTATTAGAATGGCGGAACAAGGCTCCAGGGGGTGAATGGTCTACTCCTGTTCCTATGTTCCTTAAACCAGGTCTTCATGTGAGGGCCCATTGCGAAGCTGGAGACCTCCCTCCCTGCAGCTGCTTCCATACTTGAGGGTGTGGTACAAAAAGTCCCCAGGTGAGTCCGCAAGGAGAACAATATCATCTGCAAACAGAAGCACCAGAGAGGCCTGGATGGTGGTGAGAGAGTTGTTGTTGGGGCACGGGTGGTGTTGCTGGGGCGTGAGCTTAATTGTTGGGACTCGGGCGCTGTTGTTGGGGTGCAGGCATTGCTGTTGGGGTGTGTGGGGGCATGGGCGTTGTCGGGGCGAGGGTGTTGTCATTGGGGCACGGGTGGTGTTGTCGTTGGGGCACGGGTGGTGTTGTCGTTGGGGCACGGGTGGTGTTGGCTTTGGGGCATGGGTGGTGTTGTCATTGGGGCGAGGGTGGTGGTGTTGTTGAGCACGGGTGGTGTTGTCGTTGGGGTGTGGGCATTGTCGTTGGGGCATGGGCGTTGTCGTTGGGGCACAGGCGTTGGGGCATGGGCGTTGGGGTGTGGTACCCATTTCCCCACCCTCTGTCACCAAACTCATCCTATTCCTGAAACCCACCACCTGCTCCCTTGACCCCATCCCCACTCCTTATCTCCCAACTCCACCTCTTTGCCCCACATATCACAGACATCGTCAACCTGTCCCTCTCCTCTGGCTCTATTCCCATTCCCTTAAAAACTGCCACCATCACTCCCACCTTAAAAAAACCCTCCCTTGATGCGTCGCAGCTATCAAGCTACCGGCCCATCTCCAACCTCCCCTTCCTGTCCAAGGTCCTGGAACGAGTTGTCGCCTCCCAGCTGCGCTCTTTCCTCTCCAACCATTCACTATTCGAACCCCTTCAGTCGGGTTTCCGTGCTGCCCATAGCACAGAAACTGCCCTGGTCAAGGTCACCAATGACATCCTGACCATCTGTGACCAGGGCTCCCTCTGCCTCCTCGTCCTCCTCGACCTATCGGCAGCATTCGATACGGTCGACCACGCTATCCTCCTCCACCGCTTGTCCTCCCACCTAAACCTTCAAGGCCCTGTCCTTGAGTGGTTTAGGTCGTACCTTTCCCAACGTCTTCACTTTGTCTCCACAAACGGCTTTTCCTCCACCCCCCGCACTGTCTCGTGCGGTGTCCCTCAGGGCTCTGTCCTCGGTCCCCTCCTCTTCACCCTCTATATGCTCCCCCTGTGGTGACATCATCCGCAGACATGGGGTTAACTTCCACATGTATGCGGATGACACCCAACTCTACCTTTCCTCCTCTACCCTCAACTCCACGACCACCGATGTCCTGACAGCTGCCTGTCCGACATCGAGTCCTGGACGAGAGATAACTTTCTCCAGCTCAACGTGCGTAAAACTGAGGCCCTCCTGATTGGCTCACGTCAGCGCCTCCGCACCTCAGGCGCTGACAGCATCAGCATCCAAGGCTGCACTCTCCACCTCTCAAAGCCAGTCAGGAACCTCGGGGTTCTGTTCGACCCTGAGCTGTCCTTTCTCCCTCATATCCGCACCACAACTGGCACCGCCTTCCATCACCTCCGGAATATCGCCAGACTACGGCACTACCTCACCCCTCACGCTGCTGAAACTCTGGTTCACGCCTTTATCACCTCAAGGCTGGACTATGGGAACTCTCTCCTCGCCGGCCTTCCCGGCCCCTCCCTCCACAAGCTGCAGGTCATTCAGAACTCTGCAGCTCGTGTACTGTCCCGCACCAGGCTTCGGGACCACATCACACCCACCCTCGCTCGCCTCCACTGGCTCCCCATCCCCCAGAGGATTGAATTCAAGATCCTCATCCTCACCTACAAGGCCATTCACGGCCTTGCTCCCTCCTACCTCTCCGACCTACTATCCCCCTACCTACCTGCCCGTACCCTCCGTTCCTCTGGCTCCGGTCTGCTCCACATCCCCCGCCCCAACCGCCCTACCATCGGTGGCCGGGCCTTCAGCCTCTCAGCCCCGAGGCTCTGGAACTCTATCCCCCAGTGCCTTCGCCGCCTCCTCCCTTTCCTCCTTCAAGGCCGGTCTCAAGACCTTTCTCTTTGACCGTGCCTTCAGCTCCGCTCTCGACTCTCTACCCCTCCTCGCTCCCTCCCTTCCCTCACCCTGACCATTCCTCGCTCCTCCTTCCCTCACCCTGACCATTTCCCCCCTGCTCAGGTCCTGACCCAACTGTACAGTGCCTTGGGATGTCCTCCCGACGTGAAAGGCGCTCAATAAATGGAATCTTGTTGTTGTTGTTGGGTATTGGGCCTGGGCGTTGGAGTGTGGGTATTGGGGCCTGGGCGTAGGGGCCTGGGCGTTGGCTTTGGGGTGCGGGTGATGGTGTTGGGGTGCGGGTGATGGTGTTGGGGTGCGGGTGATGGTGTTGGGGTGCGGGTGATGGTGTTGGGGCGCGGGCGTTGCTGTTGGTGTGCGGGGGGGCCTGGGCGTTGTCGTTGGGGTGCAGGTGATGGTGTTGTGGAGTCCTGTAGCTCAGTGGTTAGAGCACTCGCTTTGCAAGTGAGAGACCTGAGTTCAATTCCAGGCAGAGGGCGAAACCTTGGGCAAGTTTCCTTACTCCACACAGAGCCTAATAATAATCCCTCCAAAACCAAAAACAATAATAAAATTGGTCATTTTCAATCTACGACTGTGGGACATTGCTGTGCGCAATTGGCTGCCGCGTTCGCCCACAAATATACAGTCAATTCACTTTACAGTGTGTTCTGTGAAGCGCTTTGGGACGTCCTCCCGACGTGAAAAGCGCTATATCAAATGTGAGGATTATTATTATTATTGGGGCGCGGGTGTATGTTAGGCGGGGCTGGGGGCGGGGCTGGCGGCGGGGCCCGGATGGGGGCGGGGCTGGGGGCGGGGCTCGGATGGGGGCGGGGAGGGGGCGAAGGTTGGCGGGTGCTGATTGGTGGAACGAGAGGGCCAATGAGAGCGTGTGTTGTTAACCGGTACCGGCGGCCGGCCTCAGCCTGGATCTCACTCACACCCTCACACACACAGTGACACAGACCCTGAACAGACAAACAGAAACAGGAGCGGCGCTGCACTCGGTACCTACATTTACTATTATATGATGTTATTTTATCCGCTCGCGCTGCTGCTCATTGAGCCGCAAATGGAGTCCGGTGGCTGCTGCTGGGGGTGGGGTTGGGGGGGTGCTGGGGTGGGGGGGGTGCTGGGGTGGGGGGGGTGCTGTTGGAGCTTGGGTGCTGCTGGGGTGGGGTGGGTGGCTGCTATAGTGCTGCTATATATAAAGTGGTAAAGCCATGTTGCTTGTTTCTTGTACAGCTCTCATCCCTCAGTGGTTGATTGTGTTTCACAATGGAGGCCCCACAGAACGTCCTCTTCCCGGTGTTTCGGCTTCTTCTCTACGCTTCACTTTCACTGCTGGTTCAGCAATCGGTTGCCTCAAAGCAGAATCCCTGCCAGATGTGTCGTCATATTACTGAAAACTTCAAGAAAGTAAGGCACGCGTACTTTCTTCGTTTGGCAAAGGCGAGCTGTGGAAGAAAGAGCCCCTTTCACATCGGCGCTATATAAATGCAATTCTTTGTTGCTGAAATGCCAGTGGCCACTGACAAAAGCACCAGCTCCCTCCCACGTAGCTCCCTCCTGTTTTTTAAAAAAAATAGAGAGAGCTCCCACTTTAGTGCACTGAGAATACTGGACACTGTTGTGTCAATACTGAAAACTCTGCCGCCTGCATACTGACCCGGACTAAACTCCGTACCCACATCTCACCAGTTCTGGCCCAGGCTCCACTGGCTCCCCATCACCGAATGGATCGACTTCAAGATCCTCACACTCGTGTTCAAATCCCTTCACTGCCTGGCACCTCCCTTCCTCTCCAACCTCCTCACTCCCCAATCCACCACCTGGCGCAGCCACTCGACTCGCACCGGCCTCCTGCTTGTCCCTCGCATACTCCATCCCACCATCGGAGTTCACGCTTCAGCCACTACTCCCCAAAACTCTGGAACACTCTCCCTCAATCTCTCCAACTTGTCCCCTCATCTTTCAAGTCCCGCCTGAAATCTTTCCTCTTCGACCATGCTTACGGCCACCTCTCCAGTCCCTCCGGTTTGGAGTCAGGCTCCGCCACTGTTAAGCACTCTGAGACACTACCCTGCGTGGAGGGCGCTATATAAGTGCAAGTTGTTGTTGTTGACACAAAATGACAAGCACTGAGCTGTTTGGTGGGAAACACTGAGCGAGTTTTCCCCATAGTCCAAGGCATTGAAAAGTCAACTAATTCACACTGTAATACTGGGTCGACAGAGACAAGGCAGCTCCTCCAACAGAAGCAAGGGAACCAGCCTGCTGCCTGGCCCCTCACCTGGGGGAATGGTTGCCTGTGTAGGAGAGAAAATATTGTTTGAAAGGGGAAAAATTGAACTGTTTTAGTCTTCTGTTTCACAAACACATTGGATGCTCTGTGTCTGAGCTGCACGCTGCTGTAAGGAAATCGGCTCTGACTTCGGCTCATTTCACTGCCTGTTGTGATGCCATAAACAGCAGTGATCCAGCAGTGAGAAATAAGTTAGAACGCACTGCTGATAATGAGAAGTGTGGCACACAGATCCCATCCACATTGCACAGTTCGGTGGAACACATCTTGTTACCTGTAGGAATTGCTTTTTATGGTGTATCCAATATCACATTTTCAACTGCAGCCATACTAAGCTTTGATGTTGCTAGTGCAACAAGCTCTGTTTCCTGCTCTGTCCAAACTATCTCTTAAGAAGAAGAATTGAAGAGGGGAGCAGCAAGGATATATCTGTACAAAGGTTTTCTAGTTCTTCCTAAACTTTCTTTTAAGAATTTGAATTGGGTTTAATTCTAAAATTCTCTCCCTCAAAAGGCTGTAGACGCTGGATCCATTCACATTTTCAAGATGGAGGTAGATAAATATTTGTTAGGTCAGGATATTAAAGGATATGGGTCAAGGGTGGGTAACTGGACATTAGCCATAATCTTATAAAATGGCAGAGGCTTGAGTGGCTGAATAGCCTACTTCTGCTTCTATGTCTATGTATTTAGAGTCCTGTAGCTCAGTGGTTAGAGCACTCGCTTTGCAAGCGAGAGACCTGAGTTCAATTCCAGGCAGGGTGAAACCTTGGGCAAGTTTCCTTAATAATAATAATCCCTCCAAAAACCAAAAAACAATAATAAATTGGTCATTTCAATCTACGACTGTTTGTGGGACATTGCTGTGCGCAATTGGCTGCCGCGTTTGCCCACAAATATACAGTCAATTCACTTTACAGTGTGTTCTGTGAAGCGCTTTGGGACGTCCTCCCGACGTGAAAAGCGCTATATCAAATGCAAGGATTATTATTATTATCTATATATCTATGTAATTGCTAGGAAAGCTTTGTTCTTTTTTTCCCCTCATTTCCACTCTCCTCCCTTTAACTGTTTGTTTTGAAAATATTTTATGATAATAAAGGAACGGAAGGAGGTTGTTAATTATAATACTTGCATTTGATATAGCGCCTTATTGCGTTGTCAAAACATCTCAAAGTGCTTTGCAGGATTTAATGCATAGTGGTGTACATTTTGATTTTGTATATTTTGAGCCTGTTTAACCTATTTTTAAGATCATGGCAGATATTTTGTTCTCATTTCCCTGCTGTTTTATCATTCTTGATACACAATTCCCAAAAATCTATCTTCCTTTTTAAATATCCCAGTTGTTTCTGGGATTCTGGGGCGGTGCATTACACAGAGGTAGCTGGTGGCCATGAGTACACCAGTCTCCATGTTATAATACATGCATGGCATCCCTCAATGTAAGATGTATGTTGCAACACTGGCCACTTCCCTGCCACCCCTCATGTGGTCTGTCTCGCAGGGAATGGAGAAAACAGCAAACAAGAATTTTGGAGGTGGAAACACCGACTGGGAAAGCAAAAATCTGGCAAGGTACAAGATCAGGTAAACTGCAGCACATGTGTAGATTGTGCAAATGTATGATGTGTATGTATTGTGTGTGCTCATGCGCGCGCGTGCGTATGTTTGTGTGTGTGTGTGAGAGAGAGTGAGACTTGTGTGCACATGTTTAAAGTAGATCATGTGCATCTAACTGCACAGATGCTGTGTGCCAAGCCCTGGATGGTAAGGGTAGACAGTGTTTGTTTGTGCACAAAGGGTGGGTTATTTATTGAATCTGCAAAATATAATCTGGAACATTTGAAACAAAATTTAAGGTGTTGTGGCACAGTCTTGTTTGGGGGCAGTTCCTGATACTGGGAATATCAGGGATAGTTTGCCTTCCACGTCTTCAAGGATGGATGCATTCTGGTTCTATGTCTCCTTCACTTCAGCATGTAATTCAACAGTTTAATGAGTCAGCATATATCCTTGTGGACTTACACCGGGCTGTGTAATGGAGAACTGAATCTCAGTTTGGCTGGAATGACTATGAGTTTTTTTCATCTGTCCCAAGTGCTTTTTCTGCACAATATAGAGGTGCCGATCCTGGGTCAGCAAGGATGGTCTCTTAGTGTCTCAGTACCACTTGGCTGTGGCTGTGTAAAGTATCACTTTACTGTGTGGGTTTAAAAACTGAAGTGATTTAAGCAGAGGGTTCATGACTGGCCGGTGTGATGTCTTGTCCAGTCATACCTTGCATGCTTCTCCATCTGCTAGGCTTGTGCCGTTGTTTTACGGGATTAACTGTAACATCGATTTGATTGTGGGTCTAAATCTCTTCAGCATGATCTAATATTATTGGAAGGACATAAATTTAAGATTTTAACTAGAAGCATGAAAGAGGAAGTTGGGAAGATTGTTTTCTCAAGCAGAGTCCATCAGAATCATTTAAATGGGAATCAGACTCTCGTGCGCGCACACACACACACATATAAATGCACTATGTTAGAAGGTATGAACAGGAGGATTGGGATTAGGTTGGGGCTTTACTGGAGGAGCAAAACCAACAATAATGAACAGTTCAATAGCATTTTACTGTGTCGGAGATTGCTTTGCTCCTACGATATTATTGTTTTGTTTTTATGTTCTGATCCCCAGATGGATTGATTTTAATGAATCTCTGTTATTGCAGTGAGACTCGTCTACTGGAGATCATGGAGACTCTGTGTGAGAGCTTGAATTTTGATTGTAATCAGATGGTGGAACAGAATGAAGAGCACCTTGAGAAGTGGTGGTTCAAACAGTGAGTGCTCTATGCTTCCTGCTCGCTCACTACCATCTGCGCTGTTCCTTTCCTGAAGTGCTCCATGACCACCCCTAACTCTTTCATAAGGTTGTGCGAGTGAGGGGACTGTGCACCTTCCTGTGTCAGTTGTTCTTTACTGGCTGAGAGGATTATTGGCCAATTGCCATTTCTATCAATATTCCCATCTACAGTGAGGTCCTGGCTTGCACCTAAATGCTTTTAACTGCAGCTGGCAAAGTGAGCAACGTAGTGTGATATTCAGCCTCTGATCTCTCTGAGAGTGGCAGTCTCTAGTAATAGGTAAGGTGTTTCTTTTTTCTACATTATGTTGACTGGGATGAATGAGCCCTCCATACTATGAGGCAGTTGAGAAACCTCTGTGTACCCTTTTTGGAAGTGCAACTAGAAGCATGAAAATATATTCTGAAACCATTTTGTCTCTTGCAGGCAGGAGGCTCACCCTGATCTGCTTCAATGGCTCTGTCTGGACACCATCAAAGTGTGTTGCCCCCCTGGGACATTTGGACCTGACTGCTCATGTGAGTGTAGAGCATGTCTAACCCACTTCACCACAGGAGCCAGGTTATTCACTCGTTAAGAACCATTAAAGTCATTTTATTTTATAAATGTTTCGATTTTTAGTGGAAGTCGATTGTTAAAACACAGTTTTTTCTGGTTTTACTACTTACATTTAATTACAAAAAAAGTCCAAAATATGAACAGAAAGTTGTGCACCTCGCTTCAAAACATCACCGACTTTCTGTGCGCTGCAGAATGGCAGACTTCTGTGTTGTTAGGGGCCATCAATGTCCCTCAACTACAACAAATTGCATTCATACAGCGCTTTCATGTCAGGAGCATATTCAAGGAGTAGGTCAGTCAAGGGAATTTGAGACGGACCTTCATGTAGCCAAGGGAGGGGGCTCCGGGATGGAGTTCCAGACGTTGGGGGCAGAAAAGCTGAAGGCCGTGGATTGGTGGGGCGGACAGGACTGTCCTGATGACCTGGAAGTTGGGCTTTTTGGTTTACAGTTGACCATTACTTTAGTAGGGAAAGCTGGCCAGCATTTGAAGCGAGAATGCTTTCTACACAATCACTGAGACCAGTGTCCGGTTATAACCCGGTTATAACCCGAGTCAGGAATTTATTTAATTGAATTAATGTTATACCTGGGTGCTACTGTGGAAGCCTAGAAGAATTTTGATTTCCAGCCACAGGGTGGCCCAGCTACACCCAATTCTGCTCTCATCTAGAATGGTCATTGTAGGGTTTCAAACAAGGCCCAATGAATTCTAGATTTGGAGTTGGCATTGGAATGAAAAGTTCTGTCATGAATTAATACAGCAGTCACAAAGGTCTGTACACAATGCAAAGTATGGTGGGATTAATATAATTTGTGGGCTTTTTGTTACAGCCTGCAAAGATAGAGCAACAAAGCCTTGCAGTGGATATGGGAAATGTGATGGGGATGGAACACGTTCGGGCACCGGGCTGTGCGATTGTGAGCATGGCTACACGGGATCCACCTGTCTGGAGTGCGCTGATGGATTTTTCGAAGAGTCCAGAAATGAAAGCCATTTGGTGTGTCATGGTGTGTAAAATTGATTCAAATGTTGGTCATATAAGTCAAGCTCACACTGAATTCACTCCCTGGCACCTCCCTACCTCTCTGACCTCCTCACTCCCAAATCCACCATCCGGCGCCTCCGCTCAACTGACACTGGCCTCCTGCTCGTCCCTCGCATCCTCTGCCCCAACATTTCACCCTCCCCATCGCACTTTGAACCACTACACCCCAAAACACTGGAATACGCTCCCTCAATCCCTTGCCCCTCTCTCCCCTTTCTCTAGTCACGCCTGCAAACCTTCCTCTTCAACCCCCCCACCCCTGGCTTGGAGTCAGGCTTCGCCACTGTTAAGCTCCCTGAGATGCTAACTTGCATGGAGGGCACAATTATAAGTGCAAGTTGTTGTTGAATGTAATGCAAATGGCTAGTGAAGTCAAATGAACAGTAGAAGCTTTTTTTGATTTTTCTCATGTCCTGTGTAACTATAGGTCTGGAACTATAGGTCGTTCAGCCTACTGTCCACAGTCAGCAAACCTTTATCAGCTACAGTATGGGGTCTGATTTGTCTGTGAATAGATTGATGCCACGGATACAAATGTAATTTGTTGTTGTAGTTGCTAACTGTATGATGGTGTTAGGGTGTGACTGGTGTCCCATTTCACTTCCTGCTTCATTGGCTGCTTTGTTTCAGAATGCTACACATCCTGCAAGAAGTGCACTGGTCCTGAAGATTATAAGTGTCGAGATTGTAAGACAGGTTGGGTTCTGCACGACAACAAATGTGTGGGTGAGTGCTGACTGACCTCAGCTATTGATTACATTCTGCGTCAAGCAATCTTTCCCTGGTGTCTGTCCTAACATTGCACTTGACATCCTGTGTTAACTCCCCTCTTAACCTTTGCCTTAGGTAATAAAGCACTAATTTTATGCTAATAACTATATCCTCATTTCTGGTATCCTTGTGAATCTAACCTGCACCTTGTATAACTCTGATATCCTTCTCTGATGGAGCTTTAACGCGCTACTTCACTTGTAGCCTAATTAATGTCTTGTATAGACTCAGCGCAACATCCCCCTCCTTCCAACTTTCCCCTTCCCCCAGTACCACTGCCGGCTTGGCACCCAGCCATCAGTGTTCCTCACTTTGAGTTGTGCTTCTAACATGAAAGGCACTGCTTAATGCAAAGCTTTCTGTGTTAGCGTGGCTCAGTTGTTACGACTCTCGTCCTCTTGAAGTGCAAGGTGCCATATCAAATGTAAGGATTATTATTGCTGTTATTAACCCTGCAGGGGTTCTCAAACGCTGCTTCTACTTTGAATTTAAATCAAAAATTTAAATCTAAAAGCAGCTGTTTTTTGTGTCTCTCTCTCCTCAGATATCGATGAGTGTGGCACTGAGCTGGCAAGATGCACGGCTGGCCAGTACTGTGTTAATGGAGAAGGCTCGTACGAGTGCAGAGGTCAGTGATGCCCTTCTGTAGCTGAATCATCTACTGGTTAAAATTGTGCCGGCTTCATTTTTCAGCCAGGTCACAAGATTACAAGATTGGTTTGGATGAAGAAGGCTTTTTATCCCATCCAATCTCATCCCTTAAGAACACCCACCCTACTGTCCCCTCCAATACTGTATCAAGCTGTAATAATTCCAGCGTCCTGGCCTCAACTAGCTTTCCTGGCAACCTGGTTCAGTCGCTCCCCTCTCGACTCTCTTCCCCCTCCTCGCTCCCTCCCTTCCCTCCCCTCACCCTGACCATTTCCCCCCTCCTCGCTCCCTCCCTTCTCTCCCCTCACCCTGACCATTTCCCCCCTGCTCGGGTCCTGACCCAACTGTGCAGCGCCTTGGGACATCCTCCTGACGTGAAAGGCGCTTTATAAATGGAATATTGTTGTTGTTGTTGATTATCCTTTGGGTAAAGAAAAAAATCCTTGTGTCTGTCCTGAAGTCCACTTTATAACTCTGTGTCCTCTTGTTCTGCTATCTCAATGCATTCTGAAGTATTGAACTGTGTTTACTTTTTCAATCCCATTTAAATGTTATACCTTTATGAGGTCCCCACTGAGTTGTCTTCTCAAGACCGAAGAGCCCCAAGCTTGTCTCATTTTTTCAGAGGTGGGGGAGTTTACCAGTGAAGTATTGTTCCCATTTTCCTGGCTTTCATCAGCCCAGCCCATGCTCCTAGCCAGAGAGTGATCAGTGATGCAGGAAATTATCTAAAACAACCCAATGCCCAAAGGCTGTCCATGGGACTCGGCTGTGGTGCAACATGCTTCCTGCATTTGCCACTAAATACACTTCTAATAATAATCCTTGCATTTGGTATAGCCCTAATCATGTCTTTGTGACATCTCAAAGTGCTTCACAGAATATACTGTAAAGTGAATTGACTGAATTTTTGTGGCAAAACTCAGCAGCCAGTTGAGCACGGCAGTGTCCCACAAACAGTCGTGGATTGAGTGACAACATTTTTTGGGGAGTTTTTTAAAAAAAGGGGTTTTATTACCCCCGGAAAAGCGATCTGCCAATCGACTAACAATTGGGTTCCTACTTACTGCTAGGTAAACAGAGGCGTGTGGAGTAAGGAAACTTTCCTACTGTTTTGTCCTGCCTGGGAATTGAACCCAGGTCCTCTTGCTTGCTTGCGAGGCGATCGCTCTAACGACTAAGCTACCGTGGTTAGCTTTGTGGTTAGAGCTACCACTTGACAGATCCCTATGATGCACTTTGAGATTTTTGATGCTATCAAATGCAAGGATTATATATTTATATTTATTATTTTGGGGTGCTGGTGACTGGAGTGAGCAGTGTAATGAGTCACAGGCAAAGAGTGACCCTTTTAAAAGCAATTTCTTCTTTCTGTTTCCAGCTTGTGACTTGGCCTGTCTGACGTGTATGGGTGGTGGACCGGGACGGTGTAAAAAGTGCAACAAGGGCTACTTGATGCAGGGAGCAAAGTGTATGGGTAAGTGCAGTACTCCAGGGAATGGACATGGTTCGGGAGCTGCAGCTCTGCTAAAGAGGCCATGTTCAATTAATATATTCAGATCTTAGGGTTCGATGTCTGCATGTTTGTAGCATTCTCACCTTTGAGTCAGAGGATTGAGGATTCAATCCGTATTGTTGGGACTTTGAGCTCACAGTCTAAGCTGATACCCCAGTGCAGTGCTGGGGAAGTGCTGCTTTATTGGTGGTGGCGACTTTTGGATGAGATGTTAAAACTAAGGACCCGCCTGGCTGTTGAGGTGGACTTTAAAAAATCTCGTGGCACTATTTGGAAGAGGGAAAGGAATTTCTCCCAGCTTCCTGACCAGCACATCCCGAAAATTGGTCATTTACTTCATGAATATTTGCTGTGGGCAAATTAGCTGCAGCAAAAGACACAGTTACTACATTTTACAGTAAATCCGATGAAGCGCATTGAGACATCCTCATGATGTGAAAGGAGTCATGTAAAATGCAATTATTATTATAATTTTCCTGGTCTTGTAGGAACATAATGTTCCTGAGCTGTGTGAAGCAGGGTGTGGTGGTGTGAACTGTAGAGCAGTTAACCCTTGCCAAGGACCCTCGTAGTGCAGCATGAATTGCTAAAGTTCTGCTGCCGCACACTTTTAATTCTGTATGGAAGGAGGCAGCAAAGGAAAGAGGAGTGGAAGGAGGAGAAGAGAAGTTAAGTTGCTGTGTGCTGTTAGTTATTGCTGTATGGCCGTTGTGTGGAAATTCAGTCGCTGTATACTGTTATTTCAGACATTGACGAATGTAACAGTGAAGTGCTGCGATGTACAGGGAAACACGAAGAGTGTAAAAACACAGATGGAGGCTTCACTTGTGTGTGCATCGACAGCTACTCTAAAAAGGATGGTGTGTGCATTGAGGATCAGCCAACCAGTAAGTGCAAAGTGCCCGCAAGTTTTTATTTCCATGTGGAGGTTTATTTATGCCCCATTGATCGCTCTGGAGGATAGCTCTAAGCTGAGAAAATATATAAGGCTAGTGATGTCCCCTGTCCAAGGTGGGCAATATAGAGACCTTAACTGGGAATGAATATCTGTAGCAGAAAGCTATTGACAATGAGCATAACAACAAAATTACATTTATAGAGCACCTTTCACGTCGGGAGGACGTCCCAAAGCGCTGGACAGTCGGGTCGGGGCCCGAGCATGGGGGAGGGGTGAGGGAAGGCAGAGAGGTGGGAGGGAGACCAAAGGCACGGTCGAAGAGAAGGGTCTTGAGACCAGCCTTGAAGGAGGCAAGAGAGGAAGCGAGGCAAAGGGACCGTGGGATGGAGTTCCAGAGCGTGTGGGCAGAGGCTGAAAGCCCGACCACCGATGGTAGGGCGGGTCGGGTGGGAGACATGGAGGAGACTGGAGCCCGCTGAACAAATGTACTTTGTGAATGAATCTGCTCCTGTTTATTTCCGTGTCTTTCAGTTTGTCGCTCGCTCACATTGTTTTGCTGTTCCCCTTTCCATTTCTATCCCATCTGCCTCTTTGTCCCCAACGCATTTCCTTTTAACTTTGTTCTCTGTGTACTTCTTACTCTCTGTGTCTGTCACCATCTCTCTTGTCAATCTCTGCCCTGCATGAGGGGCACAATATAAATGCAAGTTGTTGTTGTCCCTCTGTGCCTCACACTCACTCTTTCCCATCTCGATCACTGGGGAACAATACAGACGAGGTAAATTAGATAGTTGCTCAAGATTCAACTAATAATAATAATCCTTGCATTTGATATAGCGCTTTTCATGTCTTCTAGACATTTCAAAACGCTTCACAGAATAGACTGTAAAGTGAATTGACCGTATATTTGTGGGTGAAACACAGCAGCCAATTGCACACAGCAGTGTCCCACAAACAGTCGTGGATTGAAAATGACCAATTTATTATTGTTTTGTTTTTTTGGAGGGATTATTATTAGGTGTGTGGAGTAAGGAAACTTGCCCAAGGTTTCGCCTGGAATTGAACTCAGGTCTCTCACTTGCAAAGCGAGTACGCTAACCATTGAGCTACAGGACTCTAAACTGTACCAACATACAGTTTCAGCAGGGAGGGCTGGCTTGTGAGGAAAGAAACAAGAGCTCGGGCTAATTTTTCTCTCATCTGTATTTCACTGAAGCTCCAACTACAAAGAATGTGAGCTTGTATGGCTGAGTCCTGCAAGATAGAGGTCAATGGGGTGTGGAGGTTTATTTTACTGACAGTGATAGAGACTGTGTGTAGATATAAAACGATTCAAACCTGTAGCATATTGGTTAGAGCATTTGCTTCGCAAGCATGAGGATTTGGGTTTCATTTCTGGACAGGGTGAAACCTTAGGTAACTTTCCTTAGGAACCTGGTTGTTAGTCAATTGGTGGATCGCTTTTCCAGGGGGTAGTAATCCCTTCAAAATAATAATAATAATTTGGTCACTCAATTCACCACTATTTTGTGGGACACTGCTGAGTGTAATTGACTGCCTCGTTCCCCCATAAAATACAGTAAATTTTATAGTATATTCTGTGAAGTGCTTTGAGACATCTCAATGTGATAAGGCGCTATATCAAAAAATGCAAGGATTATTGAAAAAGGAAAAATGAATGAAAGTTGGAAATAAAAACCTCTTAATTCTCTGCCCTTGTCACCACAGTGGTCCTCGAGGAAGGTCTGTTTGACAATGTGACTGAAGATGAGATGGTGGTTTTACAGCAGATGTTCTTCGGGATCATCATATGTGCACTGGCGACACTTGCTGCGAAGGGTGATATGGTCTTCACTTCCATCTTCATCGGGGCCATTGCAGCAACTGCTGGGTACTGGCTATCCGAGAGGTCGGACCGGCTCATTGACGGCTTCTTGAAAGGAAAATAAGGGAAAACGGGTTTTGCATGTGATGGATGGGATGGTGATGGATTTAACAGCCTGGCCATTGAGAAAAGGAGCTGGTTTGTTATCCAGCGGGCTGCTTTAGCAGACCCATAGTGGCTGGGATTCTGGGTAACTTTCAATCCTCTCTGAGCTGTGCATGTCCGAGAACACAAGACGTACTTAGCACTACAGGCAATGAGCGTGAAGCATTATATGTGAGAAACTCGAGTGCTATAGTTTTCAGATTTAGGTAAAATGTACAAATAATGAATTAATTTATTTAAGATATGTAAGGATCACATGTTTTGGGTTGAGAGGGAGGGGTGGGGAGAAGCTTCTGTGCTTCTTGGGTCACATTGTGCTTCCACTTATTAAATCCAAAATATACCTTCATTCCCTCTGTTCACATATGTGGATGGAACCGTCTCTGGTACACCTGTTAACTGGTACCTGTCCGGCTTATACTGCCTTCGCCTCAGTCACTTCTGAAGTTTACTCCCAATAGCAGAGGGTTGAATTTCCAGTCAGTGCTTGAATCCTGATTTGAACCTATGGGCACTGTCAGCAGTCCTGACTGTAGCTTGCTCCTGATGGGATTCACACAGCTAACTCCTAACTTTCCCACTCATCTCCATGGGAGATGGACAACTGTCAATGTTGGAATGAGGTTAAGATGGATGAGCCTCAACTCAATTGTGCTTTATCATCTAAGACTATGAGATTAAATGAAACGAATGGCCCTCTTAATCTGAAAATGGAAGAGTTTGGAGCACAACTGTCACACATAACTCGCCACACCTGTCACTGTACCTCCTGCTTATTGTTAGATTGTTGGGTATTGATAGACTAGGCCAAACCCGAATGCCCAAGTCAACTGGGCAAAGTAGAAAGAACTGTAGATCGTGAAAGTATTTTATTGATAGTGCAGACAACTCAAAGTGTAGCGTGTCCCGAGAACAGCGGTTTGAAGTTGTTGGGTTATCTTGCATTCATTATTTATTTTTGAAGTCATCTGGGTTTGTGTGAAGGTTTCGAACTCTAGTATATCTGCAAGTGACAAGATTCTGCCTCTAATGCATTTGCAGGGAGTAGCGCTGATCTCAGATGGCTTCTCATCCTGTTTTAATGTTCCTCATTTTGTTATAATAATAATCCTTGCATTTGATATAGCGCTTTTCACGTCTTCTAGACGTCTCAAAGAGCTTCACAGAATAGACTGTAAAGTGAATTGACCGTATATTTGTGGGCGAAACACAGCAGCCAATTGCACACAGCAGTGTCCCACAAACAGTCGTGGATTGAAAATGACCAATTTATTATTGTTTTTGGTTTTGGAGGGATTATTATTAGGCTCTGTGTGGAGTAAGGAAACTGCCCAAGGTTTCGCCCTCTGCCTGGAATTGAACCCAGGTGTCTCGCTTGCAAGGCAAGTGCTCTAACGACTGAGCTACAGGACTTGTTAATCCCACGGCATAATGCTGCATGTTCCCAGTGCTGCCACTTACAGGAAGTTTCTGAGGAGTGTTCCTGGGAGCATTCTAGGCTTTAACAAGTTATAGTATGTGTGGAAAATATTTACCCTGAAATTGCAAAGTGACGGCACAGAGGACTAATTGGACAGAAGCACTGGCCTTACTAGTGTGTGTCTCTGTGTGTGGTTAAATAAAGAAGCCATGGGAGCATTTTGTCAGAAATAGCTCCATTTCTATATGAGACATCACATGGTGGAACAGCTTTACCTCAGTAGATCTTCCTGCAGTGGCCTCATTTGAGAAAGGGAATGACCAAACCAGAAGTTGCTCTGATGATGTGCATGTGTTGGGAACCCCGACCAGCTCATAATGCAGCTGTATAATGATCCTTGTGTTTGATATAGTGTCTTCACATCATCAAGATGTCTCAAAGCACTTCACAGGATGTACTGTAAAATGGAGCACTTCTTGTAGGGGTTAGTTAACTCAGTATTAAATGATTGCTCCCCTGATCTCCACAGATCTCCCCCACCCCCATCCCCACCCTTCTGATGTTCCATTTTGTAAACATTTGGTTTTGGATCCATTGATTTGTGTCCTGATTGTCGTGTTGGCACAATATATAATCTTACATTTGATATAGCGTCTTTCACATCAGGAGGATGTCTCGTAGGGCTTGACGGGATTTACAGTAAAATGGAATGACTGTGTGTTTTGTGAGTGAACAATCATTCAGGTCTGTTTATCTCTTCTTAAACTCCCGGTCCCATAGAGTACCTGCTATGCCCTCGTCCATCACGCCTCCACAGCCTACTTGACCTGGAGACGATTCTTAATTTTAAAATATTGGGTTTTTCTGTAACTAGGTGTCTACTTCCAGGGTGATTGTTTTTTTTTAGAAATGTTAATTGTGCAAGAATGTAGAATTATGTCAATGGAGGAAATTATTTATTTTATTTTCATTGTGGTGTGAACTGGCAGCCGAAACTCAAGAGATGTTCAGATAGTCTTAGTTCCCTATCGAGAATGATAATCCCAGGGTTGGGGTGATGTGTTTTCACAGATGCTGGCAAAGCCACTGAAGCTGTTGGGGAGTGAGTCGTGTCATTTTCCATTCCCATTGTTTAGGAGATGTGCACACTGGTTAGACAGCACTGTACAAATCTCAACCTGATAAACTGGAACCTTTGAAGCCACTATACTAGTCAATTCTAACACTGCATGGGACAGTTTCCAGATCCTGAACTATGCATTGATTGGGCTGCTTCAGTTTCGTGTGAACCGTTCTACTCCGGGACAGTGAGCTGAACAGACAATGCCAGGCCAACATGGCTTCGATTTACTGCAACTTGAGAATAGAGGAGGCTGTCAGTCTCCTTCAGGATTGTAGGTTTTTTGCTGCTTGATTGTGAATTTTAAGCAAGTTGCAGTTGTCTTCCCGGAGTCCATATTACAGGAGTTCAGTGTAACCTCACCATGCGAGCAGATACTCCAGGTGAGCCTGAGCAAAGAGGGGTCCCGGGGAGGGTCTGAAAGGGAAAGAAAGACCCGAGTTGTAGGCAGGAGCAAGTAACGGTAGCGATGATTACTGCTGATAGCCAGGCTGTATCTATTTCGCTCTTCTACTTGCTGTTGATTATAGTCTATGATCTTAAAAAAAATTCCCATGAAGAAATGAAGACAAGGGGAGGATTCCTGCCATTCCCCTTCTACAAGTACAGATAAAATGTCATTGACCATTACTCTAGCACTTACATCCAATGTGCATGTCAAATCCCACAAGTGCATTACTGCCCTACACAGCCCTACCCTTATATCTTGCTTCACAATCAAATGCCAGCACAGCACTTTAGTACAGTGATAACTGATTACTTAGCACCATCCCTGTATAAATAGGCTAGCTGCGAGGTATTAGTGAGACTGTTGCTCAGTTATCCCTATTGAAATATTTAGCTGCTGAGTATTGAGTGAGTGCGAGACCCTGTCATTCAGCACTGCCCCAGGAGAAATAGGCTAGGTCAAGTCCAGTGACAAGATGTGACAATTCCCCTTCTTGTGACTGGATGACCGGGATAGCTGACTATCAGTGTGACATTTCTCATTCTTGCTGTGTAGATAGGTTTGCTGAGAGCACTAATGTGGTACAGTGGTGTTTCTCAGTGCTGTGTATATGTTTATCTATGAGAATGTATACAGGCCCCTATGTCATTTATGACATGCATGCAGACATTAGCATGCAGCTAATCACAGAGTTATCCGTCTGGTCCTGTGCTATAGCCTTGCACTGAGAAATCACGTTAATTGCAGGGCAAGCCAGACTGGCCTAACAACATTTAATCTAACCATATCATAATCCTTGCATTTGATATAAAGCCTTTCATGTCAGAAGGACATTGCAAAACGCTTTACAAGATGTACAAACCTTGAGCAACCAAACACTTTGGGAGAGCCTTATGTTGGGCACGGGTGAGTTAAATATCATGTTTAATGAGGCACAACTTCAGGTAAATGGAACAATATGTCTGTATTATTCATATGTTCTGAAGCCATGGGAATGTTGTACTGTGAACAATGGTGGTATCTACATCTAGTGAAACTCCAATCTACTGAACGTCTTAGTACTGAAACTCTATTTAAAATAAACATTTGCGGTTTGAAAATAATTGCTTTTCTGTGCTTCTTTACTACAACAACAACTTGCATTTATATAGAGGCCTCCACGCAGGGTGGCTCCCGCAAAGCTTTACACCTGGGTCTGGCATAGGGCAGAACAAGGTGGCACAACACTGGGCAAAGCAGAACTGGATGATGTGGGACATTCATAGCTGGATGGCACTGATGGCTTTAAAGGGATCTTGAATTGCTTGATCTATTGGGCTGTCACTAACAGTGAGTTGGAGCAATATCTAACATCATTGATCTTCCTTTACATTGTCCTCAGCTTCCTACAGGAGCGGACAGGCACATGACGTTTTGATGACATTTTAACTCTATATGTATCTTTGGTGCACATTGCCCCCTGTAAAAGCCACAAGATACACATAGTAGACCTAATTTTGGGGGGAGTCAGCCAGGTGTCTTAACACATTCCAACACCCATCACCATGCTTACAAGTATCCAAACCAGAGTTGCTTGCATGTCACATGGAAATTCCCCTACTGAGAACTGAATGTGCCCTTCTCACGGCCTAGCGGCAACGCACTCGCACACTTTATATACAAGAAAGTACTCGCATTTTCTAGTGCTGTATTGTAATATCTCAAAGCACACTCATCAGTAATTTCAGTTTGAAAATTTGCACACAGCAAAGTTCCCCAAACGTGTATCCAGGCTTGAAGGAATGCACTAAGGCAAAAAGTGCACTGATCATGCTCATCCCTTTTCAAGGACAGCAAGGTCCGAATGCAGGTCAAGCTTGTGGCAAACAAGACCTGTGGGCAAACAGTCCTCCTTTATTGACCTGAGCTCTTGGGAATGCAGCGGAGAATCAAAGTCCAGGATTAAGCAGTGAGGTGGATTTGTGGCAAATATGGGAAATGGCTGCAGGGAGGGAGGGCTCCAGCCTACACTGACCTGTCGCTAAGCACCCTGGAGATGGGGTCAGACCCAACAGCAAGACCCGTGCCCCAACAGCAAGACCCTCGCCCCAATGGCTGTTCTTCAGATTAAACGTTAAACTGAGATCCAGTCTGCCCGTTCAGATAGACGTTAAAGATGGAATGGTACGATTCAAAAAGAGGTTGTTTTGTCTGGTGACCTGGGTTAAAAACCTTGATAGTTGTTTGTGGGACATTGCTGGGTATAAATTAACGTGGCATTCATCATTACTGGTTACACAGAGGGTAAGTTTATTTAGATGTTTTGATGTTATTGCAGTTGTATTAATTGCAAGGATTCTTCTTGTTGGAAATGGTTGTTTATATTTAGTTGAGGGTTAGGCTTTATGATGGTTTTGGTTTGTGGGATGTCTGACTTTTGGAAACCCATCACCGTAAAACTCTCCAAACCAAACGACTGGAAGTTTCACAAATGGATAGAGATTTCCCTGTTTTTGGAATGCAATGCACACTCTCTGCCCTGAGGCACACATTCTGCTCACTTAATCCTGGAAGGATTGCCAAGAGCCAACTCCTATGTTCCGATGACTTGGGATATTGCTGGAGTTTCACTCGCTAAAATCATGTTTCTTGCCATTGCAAACACTAGGTGGCAATGTTTGCGCAGCTGGAATCACCCTATCGATTCAGACTAGGGCTTGCAGGGTTATCAGGATCCAAGTGGGAATTATCTCTGCCCCTTCAAGTTCTAGCGATGAGCCAGTTTTGTCAGGAATGCCTTGGGATACTATAGACCCATTTGGCTGAGGATCTGGACTATCAAGAAGCAAGGTAAGTCACCTTGGAGTCAACGCAGTCCCAGAGAGACAACGCCTCCCTCTTCCAACTTAGTGGGATAGTCACTATTGGTTGTTCAACAGGCTTTTATTGTGATGTTATTCCAACCTGATAGACTGCTGACTCGAGGTGTTTTCTTCCAAGTCCATGAATAAAACCAGAAGGTTTGGCAGATGTACGAGATTCGGATGGAGATGACCAATTAGTTGTGTAATAATCCAAAGTTTATTAAACAATACAAATAGCCTAACGTATTCTTAAAACTGAGACCATAAATACAGTAAACTTGATATTGATTCCACTG